GAAGTAGGCGCACTCGAAGATGCAAAAGGTGGGCCTTCCGCGCCCCGAACAACTGCAGTAGAGGTAGGCGCATTCTGCGATGCGAGATGACCTCCCCTGTCCTGAGCGGTCGGCGTTGAAGTAGGCGGGCTCTGTGATGCACGTCGTGGGCTTCCCATGCCCTTTGATGAGATGCCTCCCGAAGGTCGGTACCCTCTGCCTCCACAGGCCCCGGATGCGAGCGAAGGTGGCGGTGCACCCACAAGCTCGCGAGAGGGCAGAGGAAGTGAGCAGTGCGTGCCAACGGGTGACTCTGCTGGAGTAGGCGTACTCTGTGATTCGTGAAGTGGGTACCCATGCCCAGAACACCTGATGAAGTAGGCGCACTCTGTGAGGCAAAATGTGGGCTCCCCATACCCTGAACAACTGGCGAAGAAGTAGTCGTACTCGTAGATGCATGCGTTGGGCTTTCCATGCCCTGAACAATTGGCGTAGAAGTAGGCGCACTCCCTGATGCAGACGAGAAGTTCCCATTGCCCATCGATGCTGTATTATTTGAAATACTGGGGCCCCATTGCGCACAGCTATGCCTTGTCCAGCGGCAAGCGACAAAGTTTAGCCCATGAGTGTGTCCTCTAACTGCGTCAGCTTCGTGTGAAGCATCCTCTCCATGTGCACCATTGGTCCCTGGCCTGGCTTTTAGCTCGCCCCTGTCTGGATGAGTGAGTCGTGAATCACGCTGAGGTCGACGTCGCCCTTGGGGCCGAGGCTGATCTGAAACTTGCACTGCGCTGCGTCGTGAGTGTCGCTGGCCTTCACAAGAGGGACGAGCTCGACGATCTGCTTGATGTCCATAGCTTTCAGCTTGTCGCCGAGCACCGTAAGGTTCTGCTGGTTGAGACCGCCGACGGACGCGCCTTCCTGATGAAAGCCTTCGAGCAGACCTGCGAAGGCCGTGGTGCTGATCGTGCCGATCTTCGCCATCTCGATGATATATATATATATATATATATATGATATCGCGATCAGCGTCGGTTATTTCCGCGTGCGCATGTGCGCACCTCTCTCTCTCTCTCTCTCTCTCTTTCGTCTCCTCTGTAGCGCTCACGAGGCCAACCGTGCCGCAGGCACGGAGTGGGGCACCTTTGGTTCCTCAAATAGCCCCTGGAGTTTCATGATCACACCTCGTGGGCCCCAACCGTTGCTTCGTTAGAAAAAGAGCAAGCAACATAAACATAAACTTTTGGCGCTCCGCGCGGATTTCTTGGATTCGCGCTGGACCCCCCTCCCTGGCGCGCGGAGCGCGCCAGGGGCGGCGCCGGAGGCGCCGCCATGAGGGCCCAGGCGCAAATCCACGAAATCCGCACGAAGCGCAAAAGTTTATGCTTATGTTTTTTTCTCGGATCGGGCGAAAGGGGGGGGATAGCAAAGGGGGGGGAGGAGAATCAGCTCGCGTAGCTGATTTTCCCGTCGCCTCCCGGCGCCGATGTATCAAGGAATGGGCCCCTCGGCGAGGCCGAAACCAGCTGCACGCAGCAGATTTCGTACCCCCCTCCTTTCCCAATCCCCCCCCTTTCGTCCGGCCAGATTTTCTCCTTCGGAGGAGGAGGAGGAGGAGGGAGGAGGAGGAGGAGGAGGAGGAGGAGGGGAGGAGGAGGAGGAGGAGGAGGAGGAGGAGGAGGAGGAGGAGGGGAGGAGGAGAGGAGGAGGAGGAGGAGGAGGAGGAGGAGGAGGAGGAGGAGGAGGAGGAGGAGGAGGAGGAGGAGGAGGAGGAGGAGGAGGAGGAGGAGGAGAGGCGGGAGGAGGAGGAGGAGGAGGAGGAGGAGGAGGAGGAGGAGGAGGAGGAGGAGGAGGAGGAGGGAGGAGGAGGAGGAGGAGGAGGAGGAGGAGGAGGAGGAGGAGGGAGGAGGAGGAGCGAGGAGGAGGAGGAGGAGGAGGGAGGAGGAGGAGGAGGAGGAGGAGGAGGGAGGAGGAGGAGGAGGAGGGGGAGGAGGCTCCGAGCGGGTCTTCGCGCGCGCGGCAGACAGCGCAGGCCGCGCGCCTGCGGCCCAACCCGCGCAGCGAGGCGCCGGCGAGGCGGCAAGCCACGGGGCGGGCACGCGGGGGCAGGCAGCGCGGGGGCCAGCCCACGGCAGGCCGCGGGGCTGGACCTAATAAACGCTGCCGTTCGTGCTGCTGACGTTTTTTTTATTTTCATTTTTTTCATCTGAGGCCCTCGGGGTCTCTGGAGGTCTCTTTCCCAGGCGGTCGACGCGTTGGCCGAGCAGTAACCGTTCGTGCCGCTGTCGTTGTGTGCTTCGTGTTGCTCCGCCTGTTTTTTCCCGTCCCTCCCTCCCTCTTCAGCGCGTCGTTGCGTCCCGGCGCGCGGGTGCTGAACCAGCGCGCGCGCGGCAGGCTGATCGGGCGCAGTGGCAAGCGCCCAATCCAGCGGACGGCCCTTTTCACCCAGGCCGACCCCAGGTGAGGGCATGTTCTTTGGACCCGTGAACATCGAAAAACAAAACACAGCCGAAGTCCAGCAACGCACCCTTCAGGTCCACAGCCCCGGCAGGCCAGGCAGCTGCGGCCCGACCCGAACTGCCAGGGCCGGCGGGGCGGGAAGCCGTGGGGAAGTCACAGGGGGAGGCCGCAGGAAGCGAAGCCTCGCGCCGCAGAAAGACGGGGGAAGCAGCACAACCCCGACCACCGAGTTGGATCACGCCAGGGCTCTCGCTCCCTCGCTCGACCGAGCGAGCGAGGGGGGGGCAGGCGAGCGCGAGCGAGGGGGGGGGGAAGGCGGGCACGAGAGCGAGGGCGGTGGGGAGGGGGGGGGAGAGCGAGCGAGCGAAAGGACTCATCCACGCCCCCCCCCCCCCGTCGCTCGCTGGCTCCTCGGGCGGGTCGGGTCGGGTCGGGCGGGGCCTGAAGTGCGTGAGGCTCGCTCGATCGCTCGAGCGCTCGCTCTCTCGAGCGAGCGAGGGGGGGGGAGGCGAGCGAGTCGGGCGGGTCGCGTCGGGCGGGCGGGACAGTGCATGGAGCTCGCTCGCATTGCTCGCTTCGCCCGAGCGAGGGGGGCCCCTCCCCTCCGCCCCACCCCCCCTCGCTCGCTCGCTCGAGCGAGCGCGTCGGGCGGGCTCGGGTCGGGCGGGAGACTCGACGCCAGGTGCTCGACTGCTCGCTCGCTTCGCCCGAGCGAGGGGGGCGAGCGAGGGGGGGGAGAGCGAACGATGGGGGGGGGGGCGAGCGAGCGAGCGAGCGAGCGAGTCGGGTCGGGTCGGGCAGGCAGGACATTCGATGCAGGGTGCTCGCCTGTGCTCCCGTGCTCGCGCCGGAGCGGGCGAGGGAGAGCGGGGGGGGGGAAGAGGGGCGAGCTGGGCGGGTCGGGGCGGGCGGGCGGGACGCCGAATGCCAGGCGCTCGCTCGCTGGCTCGCTCGGGCCTGCGAGGGCCTCTCCCCCCCCCCCCCCCGCTCGCTCGAGCGAGCGAGTTTGAGCGGGCCTGGCCAGGCGGGCATGGTGCTCGCTTGCTCGAGCGAGCGAGCGAGAGGTGCGAGGTTCAGGATGAGACCGCGTGGGACAGCCAGACCGCGGGGCTGGAAGCCACACGTGGGGAGGCCACGGGAGAGGCCGCAGGTGGCCGCGCAGCCCCCGGAACGCGCGGCGGGCCGGGCCAGCGGGGCGGGGTGCCGTGCGGAGGCCACGCAGCGGAAGGCCAGGGCGGCGAAGAGCCACGAGCAGAACTGCGCGGAGCGGGGCCAATGGAGCGGGACACCGCAGGGGTATAAACTTTCCAGCCGCCCAGGGACAGGCGCCCCCGACAGCGAAACAGTTTATTTTATATTGGTCTTCGCTCGCTGAAGTGGAGCGGGACACCATGGGGGAGCCATCGGGGCCATACACGGCCGACTCCGGAAGCCCTGGAGCAGAACAGGGGGCCACCTCCCTGGGAGGGCCACTTTGGCTTGCGCCTTGCCTCCGCCCGCAGGGCCCGTCCCAGTTCTGCTCCTGCCGGCTTCCGCCCCCTTCCGCCCAGGAGGAGGAGGAGAAGGAGGAGGAGGGAGGAGGGAGGAGTAGGACGAGGACGAGGACGAGGACGAGGACGAGGACGAGGACGAGGGGGAGGGGGGAGAGGGGGAGGGGGAGGGGGGGGGGGGAGGGGGAGGGGGAGGGGGAGGAGGAGGAGGAGGAGGAGGAGGAGGAGGAGGAGGAGGAGATGCCGGCTCCTTCGATCCAGGACTGCAGACGCCATGTCTGGGGGGCGGCATAGGAAGCCAAGCCAGAAGAGGCCGGAGGGGGCCACGCAGCTGCTGGACAGAGAGCGGTAGGCAGGGCCATCGGGGCGGGACGCCCTTGGGGAGGCCATCGGAGGCCACGCCAGAAGGAGGAGCCAAAGAAGGCCAAGATTCCGCTAGGTAGAGCGCGGGGATCAGACCCACTTCGATAGAGCGCACGTCCCCTCAGTGCAAGCCGCGCACTGGGAATGTTGTAGTGGCTTTTCCGGAAGCCTCCGCCCCCTGGTTCGATCTCCAGGCTGCCACTATGCCCCGAGTTGGTCCCACGGGCCCGACTTGGAGCCGCGGTGCCTCTTGGGCCGTCAAAGGGGGCCCTCGGGGCCTGCCCGACCAGCCCGACCAACCTGCGCAGGGAACATGCTCTCCTCTTGCCATCGCTCGGGCGTCCGTCCCATTCCTGGTGCACTTCTCGGCCTCGTGCGTTTTCATTTGGGGGGTGGGGCGCAAGATTATCCTGGATGCTCCTCGAAGGTCCTCGCCGAGAAAAGCGCACACGTCCGAGCGATGCCGACTCCTGTGGTTTTGCAACTTTCTTGTGTTGCATCTTCGGGGGACATTGTTTGTCCCGTCGCGCCGAGATCCGCACCGAATCCGTGTCGAATCCGTATCGAGCGCGTCGCATCCGTGTCGAAGCTGCGTCGAGCCCGCGCTGAATCCCGCGCCAACTCCGCTTCGAGTCCGCACCGAGCCCGCGCCGGGCACAAGAAAAGACACCAACAAGAAGATGCAACATGACGACTTCCTTTGTTTTCTGCCGCGCACGCAGCCAAGACGGCGGCCTCTTGGGACCCAGACCTTACCTTGGGTCGGGCGTGTCCTCCTGCAGGCGGATTTTGGAGGAGAAGCAAGAAGCAGTCAAACAAAAAACACCCAAACATGGTCAGAGCAACGGTCCCATTTTTCTTGCGGAGACTGAATCTAGCGAAACTCTGGACTCGTCATGGCCAGAGGCTTTGAGCTTAAAGGCATGCCTTAAAACTCATTCTCCCCGAGGGTTGGGGGGGCGGGAGACCAGAAACAACTTGAGCGGAGATAGGCAGCAGGGTGTTGGCGAGTGCACACCAGAGACAGGCAGAATATTCCATTTGCCCAACATCACACGTATGGCCCCTCTGCTCAACCCGTTCTAAAACCTCCAGAGCAACGGTCCCATTTTTCTTGCGGAGACTGAATCTAGCGAAACTCTGGACTCGTCATGGCCAGAGGCTTTGAGCTTAAAGGCATGCCTTAAAACTCATTCTCCCAAATCATCCCGAAGCTATCCAGGTTGGATGTTCGCTAGGGTGGGGAGAGAAAGGGTGGGAGTGACAAGCTCGCTTTTCAACAGTACTAGCTAGGAGGGTAGAGACCATTGCCCGTGCCAGACCAGGAGGGTATTCAGAAGCAATGCGGGTGCGGCGGAGGCCACCAGGCCCCCCGCCGCTGAGTTGCCAATGGGGTTTTCCAGTCTTAGAACATATACAGCCCTTTGGTCGGCATCGACGGGTGAGCTTAATTATATCTTCCCGATTCACGTGTGCACAGAGGAGCCGTGTGGGCTTCTTCCATCTTGCTCCATACTGACACTGGTCCAGTTCTACCAGAGAGACATGTTTATGGTGCGATAAGTCGCACACCTCAGCAGTATGCCACAGCCGGCTCGTCAAGGGATGTTCGAGGATTACGGGAACCCCCAGCTTCAAAAAGAATCTGAAGAGAGAAAGAGCAACCCGAGCGAGGCGGTTGCCTAATTCCACTGCATCGGCATCGGCAGGCGTCAGCTGGGAGGCGGGGAAGCCCCATGGCTCCTCGCGGCTGCGCACAGGTCTCGACCTGTCGTGCGCGAGGGAAAAAGTCTGGCACGGAGGGGCCATTGTCGCGGCCACCAGCCGGCCAGCTCGAGCGTCAGCTTTGATCGCCCGCAGCACGGCCGGCGACAACAAGTCCTGCCATTTTGCATCATAGATGACGTCCCAACTCCTCGCACGGAAGCCCTCGGCCTCGGCCGCCCGAGACACCGCTCGGCAGCCCGCGAAGAGATCGCCAAGGTACTGGCCCTTGCCGAGGCGCGAGCGGCGAAGGCGGCCACGAGAGCGGCCTCCACGGTATCCCAGGTGCAGCTGACTCACCTGCGCCACATCTGCACGTTGTGGGGCCGGTCCGTCAGGATGAGTGCCAGCTGCCTCTCCGCCTCCTCGCACGTCGCGCGCAGCCGGGGGTCGAGCTTTGCATAGTCGCTGCCAAGCCTGCTGCTGTGCTCGTAGCGGTGCATTGACTTCGCCTGCGTCCACTCCCCGCGTCGCTGCGCCGAGGTCAGACTGCGCCAGCCTTTCGCCAAGTCGATGCTGGCGCCCGAGTGTCTCATCTGGTACAATGTCACTGGGGCCACCCCGAGGTCCTGCGCCGCCTCCTTGAGCAGCGTCGTTGCCTCGGGGTAGCTGAAGTCCCACAGCGGCTCCTTCGACGTCGTCGAGGCCAGCCGCTCGAACACCTCGTCCAAGCCCTGGAGGTACGGCGAGTCCAGGGGGCAGCCCTCGTCGAAGTGCCCACGCTTGCTGGGCCTCTTCCGCTCCAGCGGGTGGGTCAACAGGGCCCAGTGCCTGCTGACACCAGGCGACGGAGGCACAAGGTCGCACCGCCGGGCGGCCAGCAAGGTCGAGGGCCGACCATAGATCGATACGCCTATCATCAAGAAGATGCCCAGGCGTAGGTGTCCCCGCTGCGCCAGCCTCCAAGCCAGCCCGCACCAGACCGGGAGGGCAAGGGCCTTCCGCCGCCTGCCCGGAGTCAGCCTGCGCCAGGCCTTCAGCGCCCGCCAAGTCCGCGGCAGCTTGCGACCTCCCACGCGACCGAAGTCCGGGTTCGCGCTGACCCAGGCTGCGACCGTCTGGTCCCCGTAGTTGCTCTGCTCGCCCTGCAAGTAGTTCTCGGTCATGTAGTTGCACATGAGCTCGTCGATCTCCGTGTCCGGCTTCGCCAGGATCTGCCTCCGGCTCAGGCCGACACGCGAGTAGAAACGATCGAGATATCGCTGGTACCTCACCTGCGTCGCCTGGGTCACCGCCAGGGTCTCCAGGAGGCTCACGCCCTCGCCCTGCGCCGCCAGGATAGCATCGGCGTACAGCTTCGCCCGCCGGTGCGCCCTCCGCGCGCGCAGCTGCCGCATTCGGGCCCGAGTCCGCCCCAGCTGCTCCACCACCGAGTCGGAGCCGCTGGAGCTGCTGTCGCCCTCGGCGTCCTCCCCGGCGTCTCCAGCGAGGTCCAGCCCGTTCGCGTCCCTCTCGTCGAGGGCCGAGAGATGCCGTCCGGCCTGGCTGGCCCTCTTCTTCGAAGGCGAGAGGGGGGCCGGCGCCAGTATCCGCGCCCGGCCCAGCGCCCCGGGGCTGGCGATCGCCCTCGCGCCGCTCGGGTCCGAGCGCGAGCACGCCGGCGCTGCCACGGCCCCCAGCGCACGAGTCCGCGCGGCCGGCCGCCGAGCGCCCGCCCGCTGAGGGGGCGTCCGCGCCCGCGGCGCCGGCCCGGCCAGCACCCGAGCCCTCTCGGGGGCCATGGCCCGCCGTCTCTGGCAAGTCGGGAGCCTCGGGAACCTCAGCCAAGCGAGAATGGTTTGAGCCAAAACGGCTACGGAGAGGATCCCGCGCATTGTCTTTCACAGGGACGGCTCTTGGAGGACGGGCGAGCAGATTCAGATCGGCCTGGAACTTCTCATCAAGGAGGGATGTGAGAATATTACTGTCACTCTCAGAAAAAACCCTGCTGCCTTCATCGCTTTCATTAAACTCCGAGGGGATCCATCGAATAGCGGGTGTAAGCCCCAACGCAATTGCATAGGCATAGAATCGACGGATCTGAACCAACAAGCTGAAGCGGGACGAACGAGCCCTGGAAAAGGATAGCACCACAGACATATTGTCGGACAGAAAAAGCTGTCGCACACAGACCCCGTGCGCGGTCTTAGCCAGCCGCTGGATCGATTTCACGAGGGCCCTGGCTTCAAGGATCAGGATGTCCTCAGCAAAACGCCAGACCCCGGACCGGACGGTCTCCCAGGCCCCCTTTCGGAGCCACTGCCAGGGCACTTCAGCGAACCCGGGGTCGAGCTCCCACGAGGACAGGGGGTCAGACGCAAGAGAGTCAGGATTATCCATATCCGCAAAACTGCACAGAGCGCCCGAGCTGTCCCGAGCAAGGTTGGCGGCAGCGAGCGCGCTCTCTCGCGCCGGCCTGCCCAGCGCCGAACGAAAGCGGGCTCGCTCAGGCAGCCGGCCGACCTGCTCCACCACGTGCTGCGGCCAGAACGACTGCGCCATGCCCCAGCCGCTCTCGCTCGCGTCGGTCTGGAGCACGCAGCAGTTCCATGGCCGCCACCAGTCCTGAACCATCAGGGTGAGCAGCCCGCGGAACATCTCGATCTCCTTCACGACTTCTGCCCACAGGCGGGCAGGCTCCAGGTAGTGCCGCTGGATGAAGCGGTACGAGGCGTGCCAGCAGCTCAGCGACCCTCGGAGGGCCAGCCCGCAGAAGGTGCAGTGGCCCAGCACCACCTCCAAGGCGCGCCCTGTCGCCCGGCCGCGGGCCAGCAGGCCCCCCAGCCCCAGGTACACCTTCCAGAACCGCCCGTCGCTCACGCCCGACCTCATCAGCTCGAGGTCAAGCTTGGTCCCGAGCGCCTCGCTCGCGCCCGAGCCCACCGAGCTCTTGTGCAAGTCCAGGCCGACCCCCTCAAAGAGACCAGTCCAGCTCTCGAGGGCGCTCTTGGCGAGGCCCTCCGAGGGGGCGAGCACCCCCATGTTGTCGACGTACACGTAGGCACCCCCGTGCAGCCCGGGCTCAACCTCCACGACGAGCGGAGGTCCGCGATCACTCATCAGGACCCGCTCCGAGATTGCCACGTCTCCCCCTGGCCACGGATCAGACCGGACCACCCTCTCCTCGTTCGCGTCTTGGGCGAGGAAGAGGGACCAAGAGAATCCCATGGGGAGAGCCCCGATGCAGGGGAAGACGAGGGTGTCGCAGCCCAGCCTCGTCCCCTCCAGCTCGTGCCCCTCCAGGCCCAGGACGTGAGCCGGAGCGGCGGGCAGCGAGAAGAACTTCGCCAGGCTCACCGGGATGCGCATCCTGTAGAAGCAGTCCTTGACGTCCGTCATGCCCAAGAAGAGCTTGAAGCCGTTCAGCAGCTCCTCGCCCCGCGCCGAGCCGAAGGCGACGCCCTCTGGGAGCTTCACCTCCACCCTGCCGAACCCCTCGCACGACAGGAGCTGGACGCTGGGGGGCACGCCGAACCACGCGTTCGCCCGGCGCGCATCCACGATCATGCGCATCTTGTCGCTGTCGGCCTTCTTCACGAAGAACAGGCCAGCCTGCTCTGCGGGAGACAAGGTGGCAAGCAAGAGCCCGCGGGACGAGAGGTCCTTCAAAAAGTTGTGGTACATCTTCTTGTTCCGCTTCAGCAGCGGGTCAAAATAGGGAGTCGGCAAGTTGTCAAAATCGATCTCCTCGATCGGCCGCCTCATACGCTTTTGATTCTCCTTCAGGTAGGTGCGGCCGGCCTCGCCCACGATATCGTCCACCTGGAAGCAGCCGACAACCGAAGGGGGCAAGGACACGCGCTCGCGGACGAAGGAGGCCAGGTTCCTCGGGGAGCCCGACGTGTCGTAGATCGAGCACCCCTTGAGCAACGCACTGAGCGATGCCTCTTGGGACGGACAGGGGTTGGGAGCTGCGGCTTGGCGCCGAAGAGCTTCGCTGGCCACCCACTGTACGATCCCAGCATGCTTGCCCCCCATGGCGTCCAGGGAGCGCGGCGGGCCCACGTCGTCAGGCTCCCATCCAGCAAGCCAGTTGAGAGAGTCGATCGCGCCGTTCACCAATTCGTGCTCGCGCCGCCGCCGAGCGCCAGCAATCCGGGCGCGGCTGCCGCCCCTGCTGGCGGGCGGCCTGGCCAGGCGAGGGAGGGGGAAGAGGTCCCTATCCCCGCTCGCCAGGGCCAGAGGCGCTCGCCGGGCCGATGTGTTAGCCCAGCCGGCAGGGGCCCACTCCGCCGGCTGAGACTGGTCCGTCATGCCTGCACGGGCGGCGCGAGGGCACGCGCCCGGGCCTTATTACCCCGGCCGCCCCCGCCGCCGCCCTTGCCACCCTTGGCCGCATCATCGGCCCCCTCGCGCGGTGGAACCCGCGCGCCAGCCGCACCAGCAGCGACCGCCTCGGCCCTCTTGTCGCCCTGCATCAGCTCGTACTCCTCCTTGGCGCGCCTCGACACGTGAGACCGCAAGCCAGGAGCCATCAACTGGTCCACCTCGGTCAGCGGCGAGAGGTACTTCGCGTTCGAGTACGAGGCCGACCCGCTCTTGTGCGCGTCCACCAGCAGGTTCAGCCGGAGGGCGGCCACTTCCAAGCAGGCCAGTCCTCCGAGGTTGATCTGGTCAAACTCTCCAGCTTCCTCCAAGATGTCGCACAACACTCGGAGTTCGTGCGCGACTCGATCCGTAGAAGCTATCCCCTTCTCCCTGAGAAAGCGCTCCAGCCACGCGCGTGGGGACCCGCTCAAGTTCACCATCATCTTGCACGTGTGGAGGCAGGTGCGATCGGCGGGCAGCCTATGATGGTCCCACTTCACATCCGAGCTCTCAGCCACCGCTCGCTTGAACTCCTTCCTGCGTTCGCCCTGCTCGTCCCAGTCGACCCACAGCGTGCGCGCGTCGCCGTAGGCGTCGTTCTTCCCTGCGGCCGACTCGGCGGGCTCCTCGGCGGCTAGCCCCAGCTTCTCGCCCAGGCGGTCGCCTCCGGCCGAGCGAGCCTCTCGCCCCAGCGGCGGGGTCTCAGTCCCACCGACCGGCTCCGCGGCGCCCATGGCGTCGGGCTCCGCGCCGAGGTCGAGCAGCAGCTCCTTCGTCCTCTTGGCAGCCCAATCGACGATCTGGCCCTCGTCCACCTGCTCGAGCCTCGCCCAGCGGCCGCAGCTCGGCAGCAAGCCGAGGGCCCGGCTCCCGTCGCGCAGCGCCCCCACCGGGAGCGGATCCACCACGGTCCCGATTGGCATGCCAGGGAGCGGCTCCGTCAGCACCCAAGGGCGCGGGGCCACGAGCCACGGGAAGTGGTCGTGGCCGGGGCGCACCGCCCCGTCGGCCAGCACCACTCTCGTCGGCGCCTCCGACTCGGCCTGCCCACGCCTGAGCATCGTGGCTCGGCACTCCGCCGCCAGCTCCACGACCTCGTCCAGGCTGGGCCGCGCACGGAACCGATAGAGGCGGCGGCCGTCGGGCGGATCCCCAGTCGCCTGGTCCAGCAGCGACCCGCCCGACGGCCCGGTCGCCGCATTCCTCCCGCTCAGGTCCTCCTCCCAGACGTCGCCGTCCGCGGAGAGCACCCAGTAGGCGTGCCGCCCCCTCACCCGCCGCCTCTGGTCCAGGCGGCGACTGGGCCACAGCACGACCCTCGTGTGGTCCATGGTCTCCCCGGTGTAGGAGACCCGGACCAGGGTGCCGACCGCCAAGTCAGCGCACCACTCCCCCTCCGCGGCGAGCGGGGGCAGGGGACGGTGCGCGATCATCATCTCTCTCGGCGGCAGCAGCACGCCCGCGGCGCGGGGCGGCGCGGCCGAGCCCCAGCCCAGCCGCGATCCCTGCGAGAGTCCCCCAGCACGCCGAGGGTGAGTCGAACTCGCCGGCGCCCACGATCCCTCCAGCAGGCGGGCAGGAGAGGTTGACCAGCGGCGCCGGGCACGCTGGGGGAGGGCAGGGCGGCGGTGAGCACGTCAGCGCGGGGCAGACCTGCGGCGGGCAGGTCAGGTTCGCCGGCGGGCACGCCAGCGACACCGCGGGGCACGGCGGCACCCCCGAGATGATCGACTGCCGCAGCGCCAGCAACTCCAGAGCGCGCACGCCCGCGGTCTGGATGTGACTGATGAGGGCCGGCGAGGGGCCCATCAGGCCTGCTTCAGACCAGAAACAACTTGAGCGGAGATAGGCAGCAGGGTGTTGGCGAGTGCACACCAGAGACAGGCAGAATATTCCATTTGCCCAACATCACACGTATGGCCCCTCTGCTCAACCCGTTCTAAAACCTCCAAAAATAGCAAAAACAAAAAAAATCGTCCCCAGACAGCAAAAATCGTCCCCCGACTACTCCAGATTTCGTAATAAAAGGGAGGGGGTCTGGACCCTCCAAGACAAGCCATTTCAGACCTCCCCCCTGGGAGAACCCTCCAAAACATCGTCCCCAGACCCCCCAGGCCCTCCAAGATGGCCTGGAAGAGACCCCCCCCGAAATGAGACCCCCCTTCCCTCTATTACGAAATCTGGAGTAGTTTTGTCAACTATGTTTGAACATCCCTCCCGTAGAGGGACAGGCCCGACTCGCGCCTTGCCGCGCGCCCCGGGCCGCGCGCCGCGCGCCCCGAGCCGCGCGCCGCGCCCCGCCGACTGGGAGGGGCCCTGGCCTGCCGAGCTAGCCGGGGCACAGCGCGCGGGCGCTCTGGGGAGACCAGGGCGCGCCCTGCCTCGGGGCGGCTCGCGAGGGGGAGGGGGAGGAGGAGGAGGAGGAGGAGGAGGAGGAGGAGGAGGAGGAGGAGGAGGAGGAGGAGGAGGAGGAGGAGACCAGCGTAGGGGGGTAGGAGGAGGAGGAGGAGGAGGAGGAGGAGGAGGAGGAGGAGGAGGAGGAGGAGGAGGAGGAGGAGGAGGAGGAGGAGGAGGAGGAGGGGGTGTGAAGATGGGGTCGGGCGGGCGGCAACTCGGGGATATGGACAGACCTCCCTTTCGTAAAACGTGGTTTCGTGAAAACGACCCGAGGTCGAGGCCGGAACCTGGCGGGCGCAGGCCTGGAAAAGAACGGCCACGGGGCCCTCCCGAGGACCGAACACGGACGATTCACGAATCGACGTGTCACTGTTGGGGGTTCTGTCCACCCCCGAGCAGCCCAGACACGACCGCGTCGTCAAGAGATCCAGACGGAAGGCTTTTTGAAGGGGCCCTGGGACACACAAATGAATACACACAAATGAAAGGATTCCCCATATTTTGTCATATTTTCTCTGGGTTTTCGTCTTCCCCCCCTCACTTCCCATATTTTCTTCTATTTTCCTGGGGATAGGCGATGAATTGTGTCTGTGTGTTTTTCCCCTCCTGACTTCTGCCACTCTGCGGCCTCGGGCCCTCGGGGGGGCCCTCGCCGGGCCCCGGGAGCGTCCAGCAGTGACTCGGGACGAACCACCGGTCCCGGGGAAGGCGTCGGGCCTTCCAGGGGCCCCGTACTGAGACAGAAAAAAGGGCGTCGCATGTCTGGGAAGTGGGGGGTGGCCTAAGCAGGAGGGGGGCGAAGAGGAGGTCCCTCGAGGAGCACTTTGGGGGGCCCCATTGGGGCCCAGCAGGGGCCCCAGAGGGGCCCTTGAGGGCCCCTTTAGGGCTGCTCTCAGCACCCCCAATTTAGGCCACCTCCCATTACCACCCGCCCAGAAGGGGCGGGCCTTCTCAGAAAGCTGGGAAGTCCCCCGCCTTCCAACAGGTTCTCTGGGCCCTCCCCGAAGGCACGGGAGACCTCTTGCAAGGCTGAAGCGCCTCTGAGAAGCCCCGCCGCCTTCTGCGAGGGCCTTCTCCTTCTCGCTGCCCCCCCCTCGCTCGCCGCCGAGCCTGGCGGCACCACTGAGCTGCAGGAACCCGAGCTTCTTGAAATCCGCCGACCCCTGAAAGTTATGGGTCTCCGGCATGCGAGACGGTCCGGTCCCCCCCCCTTGAGCGCAATTTGTTTTACGTAGCACCCCGCAATTGCGGATAAGAGTGAGGGGGCGGGCGCGGGCGAAGCGGGCGTCGTCGAGCCGGCGGACCTCGTGGCCCCCACCTTCCTTGTCGATGGCGCTCTCCTCCTCCTCCTCCTCCTCCTCCTCCTGCTCCTCCTCCTCCTCCTCCTCCTCCTCCTCGTCCTCGTCCTCGTCCTCGTCCTCATCCTCCTCCTCCTCCACCTCGGCCTCCTCCTCCTCCTCCTCTTCTTCCTCTTCCTCCCTCTCCCCCCCTCGTCCTTTCATCATCGTCCTGCCATTGTCGTCCTCACCCTCATCGGCCTTCATCATCGTCCTCCCATTGTCGTCCATCATCATCATCCTCCCCCTCCTCCCCCTCCTCGTCCTCCTCCTCCCCCTACTCCCCCTACTCCCCCTCCTCGTCCTCCTGCTCCTCCTCCTTTTCTTTCTCCACGTTCTCCTTACATCCTCTCTTCTTCCGCGTCCTCCTCGTCCCCTGTTTACTCCTCCTGCCTCCCCCTCCTTTCCCAAGATAACTGCAACACAATCCTGTTTTCCACTGTATACTCTCCGACTTCTCTGATCAAGGCAACTCGCCAGGGCAAAGTTGCTGGACGGGCTGGTGTGGATGCGCGGGGCTTGAAGAGGTCCTTGCGGGCTCAGACGGCATGCAAAAATCTCGCCGCCGCGCTTGTGCGGCATTGGTTTGTTCAGTGAACGTGGTTTGGGTCGCGGGTGGGTCGCGGGCTCTCCACCTCCACCTGGAAGGAATGCAAAAGCAGCCCGCCGCAGGCGCCAAAAAAAAAAGTTTGTACACTGAACGTGGTTTGGGTCGCGGGTGGGCCGCGGGTTCTCCACCGGGAACGAATGCAAAAGATGCCCGCCGCAGGCGCCGAAAAATGTGGTTTGTACCCTGAACGTGGTCGCGGGTGGGCCGCGGGCTCTCCACCTGAAACAAATACAAAAGATGCCCGCCGCAGGCGCCGAAAAATGTGGTTTGTACCCTGAACGTGGTTTGGGTCGCGGGTTGGTCGCGAGTTGGTCACGGGGTGGGTCGCGGGCTCTCCACCTGGAAGGAATGCAAAAAAAGCCCGCCGCAGGCGCCGAAAATGTGGTTTGTACCTTGAACGTGGTTTGGGTCGAAGGTGGGTCGCGGGTGGGTCGCGGGGTGGGTCGCGGGTGGGTCGCGGGTGGGTCGCGGGTGGGTCGCGGGGTGGGTCGGGGTGGGTCGGGTCGGGGTGGGTCGCGGGGTGGGTCGCGGGGTGGGTCGCGGGGTGGGTCGCGGGGTGGGTCGCAGGATGGGTCGCAGGGTGGGTCGCGGGTGGGTCGCGGGTGGGTCGCGGGGTGGGTCGCGGGGTGGGTCGCAGGTGGGTCGCGGGTGGGTCGCGGGTGGGTCGCGGGGTGGGTCGTGGGTTGGGTCGCGGGTGGGTCGCGGGGCGGGTTGCGGGTGGGACGACGACAACAAACAACAACAAAAAAACAACAACAACAAACAACAACAAACAACAACAACAACGAGAATCCACACCGCGGAATTCCACTTCAGCCACGCACCCAGGGACAGTGAATGACCGTTCGGCCCCCTCACTCTGATAATTCGCGGCCACAACGGGCGTTATGAGTGGGGGAGGGGGAAATGGAGAGGGACCGGAGGGGGCACAACGTAGCGCCTTCCCCTCCCCCCCCCTCCCCCAAGACTGTGGTGCCGGACGCGCTGCGGCAGTGCCGGGGACGCACTGGGTGGGTGAGCGTTACGTAATGAGGGGGGGCCGGGGGGGAAGGGGGCATAACGCGTGCCATGGCCCAGAAAGAAAAAACAAGTCCCCAAGAGGTTTCCAAGAGGCCCCAAAGAAGCCCTAACCAGGCCCCGCAACGACTGGACTGCAGGTGGTCCAGATGTGCACCCCGCGAAGCGAGAGGGCTAACACGTGACGTCCTTCCCCTGCTTGGCAAGCCCATCCAGAACGTCGTAGTGGAACGTGCACCTCTGCAGCACCCTGTCGTAGGTGAAGCCGTGGCACCCAATGGAACCCTTGCCCCCCATGCATGCTATCATGCAGTCTTCGGCAGACGCCACCATGGTCACGGCGTCGTTCACCTTTACCTGGTTCCCGTCGGCCTGGCCGCACGTTTGCCCGCCGAGCGTCGAGTAGGAAGACAGGATCCGATCCCGCTTCTCCCTCGCGACCTCGACGTCCTCATCTGACTTGTGGACGCAGTCGAAAGTCAAATACACGCTGGAAATCGCCCCGGTGCCACCGCACATCTCGCTATCCTTACCTGGACAAGGCCTGTCACAAGAGTACAAGCTCACCTCCCTCGCCTGGACGCTCTCGGCGCACCAGCAAGTTGTCCCATCGGCGATGCCGAAGTACCGCATGCCCCTCTTCGCCGAGCAGGCCGCGAAGCACTTGTTGGCGCTCATGCCCAACGAGTCAGTGAGTTCTGGGTACTTGTACTGCTCGGCCGCGTCCATGCAGCGGTCGGCGACGTAATCAGTAGGTTGCCACCAATACTTTGGCGGCTTCGCCGCCCCCTGCGGCGTAAATTTCATCGTGAACTCTGCAGCGCAAGGCACCCCGCTATCATCCCCGCCGCACTCAGCACTGAGTAATAAGGGTAGGCCTGCATCTACGCTGGAGCCATCAACTGTGATAATGTCGATCAGCACTTTGGCCAAGGCCTCTGTCTTGATCATCAGTGTGTTGTCACTGGACGGAGGCAGCTCGTACGTCGTCCACTCGCCTCCCTGATGCGGGGCGTCCACCGTGGTCTCAGTGCCATCCTTTCCCAGACGAAGCGTCAATTTGCTGGGCCTCTGACTCACCATGTCCACGCTGGTGTGGACGCGCATCGTCACTTTGGCACCTGGAGTGCACAAGCCACACGACACCCTGCAATTTGCCAGCAGCTCGCCCTCCCCGGCCTGGGTGTAGTGGTACTTCTCGACCGCCTGGGCGCAATCCCGGCCTCTCCACTCAGAGCAGGTGCCCATCCAATCGGGGTCGACTGGGTTCTTCCCGCCCCACTCGTCTACGTACCCGGGCGTGTCCGCGCACTCCTTGGCATCTTTCTCCAAGGCGTCCATCTCCTTGTCCAACTCAGACGTGTCCACCTCCTGCGACGCCACCGTGGCGGTCGTGGCGTCGGCCGTCGCAGCATTCGTAGTTTCTGAGGCGTTGGTAGCGGTGGTCTCATTTGTCTTCTTGGCCTCATTCGTGCCAGTCGCAGCATCCGTGGCTGCCGTAGCACTTCCAGCATTGGCGACGTTAGTGGTAGTCGTTGTGTTGTCGACGTTGGTGGTATTCGTAGTGTTGGTGACGTTGGTGGTGTTGGTGGCGTTGGTGGCATTCGTGGTGTTGGTGACGTTGGTGGTGTTGGTGGCATTGGTGGCATTCGTGGTATTGGTGGTGTTGGTCTCAAACGCCCTCAGGCCATAGATGTCTACGAAGATATCGCCAGCATTGTCCTGAAGGCTGGTGTGGTGAGAAGGTTCGTACCAAGTAGCCCTGATCTTGTCGCCCTCCTTGAGCGTGAAGTTGACCCTGCAGTAGATGTCTCCCGAGGGGGTCGGAGGAGCCACGCACGCCGGCGGCAGAGTGCTCCAGGCGGGCTGCTCCAGCACGAACTCGGAGTTCTTCACGAGCTCGAAGCTCCAGGCGTCCGCCACGAGCGGGTTGCACATCTGCCACCGGTGCGTCGAGCCGTGCGTCACCGCCCCGTGGCAGGAGATGCCGGAGCCGCCGACGTACACTGCCCGCAGCGCAGTGAAGCTCCCCAGCTCCAGGGGCTCCACTGCGCTCGAGTCCCTGTCTCCAAAATACTGGAAGCGCTCCGCGAGCTTGACCCACGTCGCATTGGACTCGGGCGGCGGCGGCTTCTCCTCCTCCTCGGGCGCCGCCCGCACCTCCAGCCTGAGGTCCGTGAGATGCAGGTTGCGCTTCCTGTTGGCGACCCCGACCCTGACCTCGCCGGACAGCGGCCCGCGGACCGAGAACCTCTGGACGGGAGAGTAGCACGTGGGACAGCCGGCCCCTTGGCACGAGTCGTAGGGGTAGTCCGAAAAAGGCCCCTGCGGGTCCCCCACGGGTGCCCCGTCGACCATCAGCTGGAAGACCGCGCCGTCGGGGGCGCCGGCGCAGCCGTACCCGGTGACGTACCTGTACTCGACCATGAGCACCGCGGAAGCGTTGACTTCCAGGAGGCCCGGAAGCACCAGCTCGTTCTCCTCGTCTGGGCTTCCAGAGCGGATGTCGGCGCCCGTGAAACTGGCGCCGCCTGTGAGCATCGTTTCAGCGATCCCTATCCCCACGGGCGTGGCCCGAGCCACGCTCGCGGGCTTGCCCCCCTAGATGGGAATATAGGCTGCTCCCTTCGAGTTTCGAGGGGTATATCCCCAACTGGTGTGGAAGGGTGGGGATCGGGATAGGGGTGGGGGTACAGATCGGCCAAACAATAATGCTAGATGAGCAAAAACAGCATAAACATAATTTCTCGGAGGTCTGCGAGGAGCTCCGAGAAATTATGTTTATGTCGTTTGGCGTCCTTCGAGACACTGATCCTGTGAGCGTGATGCTGTCCTTGCCGTCCACGAACCAATCGAAAAACGTGTCCCGCGGCGCCGGTGCGGGCGGGGGCGGCTCGGGAGGAGCAGCGCGGGCGGAGAGCTCCAGAGCGGTGAGGCACAAGCTGCGGTCGTTGTTCCGGACCTGGATCTGGACCTTAGGGCGGCGCGACGAGATCTGTACATATCAGGAGCGGAAGATGCACGTACATTCGGCGACTCCGACGGCTGTGGTTTGCGAAGGGTGTGGTTTGCAACCGGCACCCTGGGGGACACCCTGGGGTGCGCGCGAGGACCTCGACCGAGCTCTCCGCCGTGCCCCGAGGAGGCCCCCAGGCCCCGACAGTGCCGATCGCAAACCACACCCTGGCGTAACCATACCCTTTGCAGTCGCCGATACATGTACATGAATCCACGTCGGTTTCGAGAGCACGCTCTGCGCGAGCGCGGACTGGGGGTCGTACTCGCGTGCGTGGGAGGGGGCGTGCGTCGTTTGTTGGCTCCCGAACAGATCCGCGGAGGAGGAGGAGGAGGAGGAGGAGGAGGAGGAGGAGGAGGAGGAGGAGGAGGAGGAGAAGGGGTAGGAGGAGGACGAGGAGGAGGAGGAGGAGGAGGAGGAGGAGGAGGAGGACGGGGGGGAGATAAAGGTGGCGAACTCTATACATATCCGCTGCTCCCTGCCCAGGCCCATCTTGAACCCAGCAGCGGTGCATACGCCAGGGCCTCCCGGCTTGGCCGGGAGGGCGTATGCACAGCTCCTGGACCCAGGAAGGGCCTGGCCAAGGGGCAGTGGATACATATATACATATATTTATATACATATCTATACACGTATATCTGTATGTATAATATGACTGTAAGTATGCATATATGTGTATGTATCCACACGCGCACATATTCCGATTCATCTATCTTTATGAGGCCGGGGACCCCGGCAAGAGCGCTCCCCTAACGAATTTGGCCCACCCCCGGCCTCTCGGGCAACCCTCCAAACGACCCGGGAGAACCTCACGAGAGTCCGAAGACGGCCCCAGAGGGCTCCAGGCGTTCCGGCGCGCTCCCGAAACGACCCCAGAGAGCCCCAAGACGGTCCACGACGACCCCCAAGAAGTCGTCATACCCGCAAAGATCGCTTAAAAACGTCCCAAATGCCCCTAACAGGCACAATTCATTGATTTTTGTTGGTCGGTTTTTGGTGAATTTTGGTGTTCTCCTCTTTTCGGCTTCCCGACGCTCCAATATGGCGGTCTTCTGGGCATCCGAATCCGCCTGGGAGGTTCGAGAATCACTCCACAAACATCCGAAAGGGCTTCCAGGCAGTCCAAGAGAGCCCCAAGACGGCACAACAGGGTTCCAAGATGGCCTGAGAAAGCCCTAAGATGGCCTCGAGACACCCTCCGCAGCATTCCAAATCGTGACCCGGTCACGATTTGGAGTGCTTCGGAGGGCGTCTTGGGGCCATCTTGGACCGTCATGGGGCTCTTTCGGGCCATCTTGGAACAATGCTGTGCCGTCTTCGGGCTCTCTTGGCCTGCCTAGATGCCCTTTCGGATGGTTGTGGGGCGATCTTCGAGCCTCCCAGGCAGCTTCGGACGCACAGAAAACCGCCGTCTTGAAGCGTCGGGAAGCCGAAAAGAGGAGAATCCCACAATTCGCCAAAAACGCCCTCGGGACGTTTTGGAACGATCTTTTGAGGTATGACGGCTTCTTTGGGGTCGTCGTGGACCGTGTTGGGGCTCTCTGGGGTCGTTTCGGGAGCGCGCCAGAACGCCTGGAGCCCTCTGAGGCCGTCTTCGGACTCTCGTGGGGTTCTCCAGGTTCGTCTGGATGGTTGCCCGAGAGGCCCGGGGTGGGCCAAATTCGTTTGGGGGGGGGGGCACCTTTTCTGGGGTCCCCGGCCCTATAAGAATAGATGGATAGGAAGATAGAGGTGTGTGTACATGTATATATATATATATACATATACATATGTACAAAAATATACAAGACTGCCTCCATGTATTCGTTATCCTTCCTCCATGCTTCTTTTCCCTCATTCTTGCCCTACCTGGCGAATCCTTCCCCATCCTCCTCAGCTCTTTTTGCGGAGGCTCCTCCTTGGAGAGCCTCTGGAGGCCTCACCGAAGTTGTTCAAACTTTCTTAAGGCCTTCTGGAGGCCTCCTGGGGGTCTTCTGGGGGCCTCTGGGGGCTTCCTCGGGCCACCCTGCCCTCAACCGCGGTCTCCCTGAACGACCGGGTCACGATTTGGATTACTTCAGAGGGTGTCTTGGGGCCATCTTGTGCCGTCATGGGGCTCTCTTAGGCCATCTTGGAACCCTGTTGTGCAGTCTCGGGGCTCTTGGGCTGCCTGGATGCCCTTTCGGATGGTTTTCGGACTGTTCTGGAGCCTCCCAGGCGGTCTCGGACGCCCAGAAGAATGAAGAACAGGGCAACCCCAAAAGAATGAACAACAAACAGTTGAACATGCGTTAAAAAACCTTGGGAAATTATCCCAGTGCGACCCTACCTAGGAGTTGGAGCATTCAGGAAAGCAACAGCTAAGCTAAGCTAAGCTAAGCTAAGATGGGGTAAGCTAAGCTAAGCTAAGCTAAGCTAAGCTAAGCTAAGCGAAGCGAAGCGAAGCTAAGCTAAGCTAAGCGAAGCGAAGCTAAGCTAAGCTAAGCTAAGCGAAGCGAAGCGAAGCTAAGCTAAGCTAAGCTAAGCTAAGCTGGGCTAGGCAAAGCTAAGCTAAGCTAAGCTGAGCTGAGCTAAGCTAAGCTAAGCTAGGCTAGGCTAGGCAAAGCTAAGCTAAGCTAAGCTAAGCTAAGCTAAGCTAAGCTAAGCTAAGCTAAGCTAAGCTAAGCTAAGCTAAGCTAAGCTAAGCTAAGCTAAGCTAAGCTAAGCTAAGCTAAGCTAAAGCTAAGCGAAGCTAAGCTCAGGGTAAGTTAAGCTAAGCTAAGCTGGGCTAGGCAAAGCTAAGCTAAGCTAAGCTGAGCTGAGCTAAGCTAAGCTAAGCTAGGCTAAGCTAAGCTAAGCTAAGCTAAGCTAAGCTAAGCTAAGCTAAGCTAAGCTAAGCTAAGCTAAGCTAAGCTAAGCTAAGCTAAGCTAAGCTAAGCTAAGCTAAGCTAAGCTAAGCTAAGCTAAGCTAAGCTAAGCTAAGCTAAGCTAAGCTAAGCTAAGCTAAGCTGAGCTGAGCTAAGCTAAGCTAAGCTAGGCTAGGCTAGGCAAAGCTAAGCTAAGCTAAGCTAAGCTAAGCTAAGCTAAGCTAAGCTAAGCTAAGCTAAGCTAAGCTAAGCTAAGCTAAGCTAAGCTAAGCTAAGCTAAGCTAAGCTAAAGCTAAGCGAAGCTAAGCTCAGGGTAAGTTAAGCTAAGCTAAGCTGGGCTAGGCAAAGCTAAGCTAAGCTAAGCTGAGCTGAGCTAAGCTAAGCTAAGCTAGGCTAGGCTAGGCAAAGCTAAGCTAAGCTAAGCTAAGCTAAGCTAAGCTAAGCTAAGCTAAGCTAAGCTAAGCTAAGCTAAGCTAAGCTAAGCTAAGCTAAGCTAAGCTAGCTAAGCTAAGCTAAGCTAAGCTAAGCTAAGCTAAGCTAAAGCTAAGCGAAGCTAAGCTCAGGGTAAGTTAAGCTAAGCTAAGCTAGGGGAACCCAGGGGGCGCAACTGGGGGAACCAGGGGGGCGCAACCGGGGGAACCGCCCGGGGTGGGTTACACTGCCCGCCCCCTTTAGCCAACAAAGTAAGAACCCTTCTAGGCAGAGCCTAGGTAGGGAATAAATGTCTCTGCGTTTTGGAAGCCACTTGGAGATCTTATTCTTTCTGTCGTCTTCGGGCGTCTGGTGGGTGTCTGGGGCCTCTTGGGGCCCTCGGGGGGGCGTTCGGCCGTCCTTCTGACCGATATGGGCCCGTCGCCTAGGCCCAGCAAGGGCTTCCAGGAGCTCTGAAACGCCTGGGGGGCCTCCTGCAGGGGCGTCCAGGGGGTTCCCAGGGCCACGGATCTGGGGGGTCCAAAGGGTCCCAGGGGGCCGAGATTCGGGGGGTCCGACTTCGGGGAGGGGGGGGTCCAGGGTAATATATATATATATATATAGATGATTGGGAATGCGGCGAACCCTGGCACCAGGAACCGGGAACCGGGGAACCCAGCAGCCCACCGAGACCAATCCGGAACCCGCAAGCGGGAACTCGGAACCCACAAGGCTGGCCCCAGCGTGAATGCCACCGTGGCCGAGGAGGGCCCCAGAGGCCGCCGGGCAGTCGCCGCCGCCGCCGCCGCCCCCGCGGGCGCCGCCGCCGCCGTCGCGATGATCGTCGCGGAGGTCGTCGTAGTGGTCGTGGTGGTGGTGGTCGTTGCCTGGACGTGATCGAAGGATTGCACCTTCTGGGGCGTGTTCTGCTTTTCCAGAGCCTCCGGACTCTGGAGATCCGTGGGGCCTCCAGGGCCTCCAGAAGCCTTCCGCGGCCCTCCTGAAACTCCCACGGGCCCCCAAAAGAGCTGTAGAGGACACCCTGGGAGGGCCCAAAGGGGCGCCAAGGGAGCTCCCAGAGCGCCTCCCGAGCCACAACAATGCAACACAATTTTGACACAACACCAACCTCAACGAGGAAGCGGGTTGTGTTAAATTTGTATGAAATTTCTGGCCCTCTGGGGGCCGTCTCGGAGCTCTCTCGGGGTGTCTTGGGCGCGTCAAGGGCCGTCTAGGGGTTCTCTTGTGCCGTCTTGGGACCCTCGTGGGGGCCTCTTGGGCCGTCTCGGGGCGGTCTTGGGGGCCTCTTGAGACGTCGTGGAGCGCCAGAAGCTCGAAACGTCGAGACCTTCGAAAACACATTAAAACCCAAGGACAATCAGGGGATTTTGCCTCTTGCGGCCATCTGGGGAGCGTTCATCGAGTCCTCTAGGGCCGTCTGTGGGCATCCTGGACGGAAGACTCGAAGTATCGCTTCGGGCTCCTGCGCTCGGTCCCCTCTTGGGACCGCCTTGGGGCGTCTCGGGCGCGTCTAGGGCCACTCCAGGCCTCCCTTGGGTCGTCTTTGGGCGCTCTTGGGGGCTTCTTGGCGGTCCGTCTCGGAACGGTCTTGGGGGCCTCTTGGGACGTCGTGGAGCGCTGGAAGATGAAAAAGTCGAGAGGCCCGAAAATATTGAAAAACCTTGGAAAATCAATGGTTTCTGCCTCTTGGGGCCCTCTGGGGGGCGCTCGGCGAGCCCCCTTGGGCCGTCTGGAGGCATCTTGGTACGGAAGGCTCTAAGTGTCCTTTCTGTCTCCTGGTCGTGGGCCCCTCTTGGGGCTGTCTTAAGGCCCTCTTGGGCCGTCTTGGGTCCCTCCTAGGGCCGTCTTGGGACCCTCTTGGCTCGTCTTGGGGCGGTCTTGGGGGTCTCTTGGGCCGTCTTGGGGCGGTCTTGGAGGCCTCGTGGGACGTCGTGGAGCGTCAGAAGCTCGAAAGTCGAGAACCCCAAAAACACCAATAGTACATCAATGGTTTTTGCCTCTTGGGGCCCTCTGGGGAGCGAGAGTCGAGTCCTCGTGGGCCGTATTAAAACTATCTGGGGCTGCCCGGAGCCCCGCGGGACATCTCGCAGCCTTCTGGTGTCGCTGCGACGCCACTTCAGGCCGTCTGGGCAGCTCTCGGGCCGCTGGAGAGGGTGCCTGGGGAGCCCGGAGCCCCCTATGGCGAGTCGAGGCAGCTGCCGATTTATTTATTTATATATACATATATACATACATACATACATACATACATACATACAGACAGACAGACAGACAGACAGACAGACAGACAGACAGACTGACAGACAGACAGACAGACAGGCAGGCAGGCAGGCAGGCAGACAGACAGACAGACAGACAGATGCATGACATGACATACATACATACATACACATACATCCATACATACATGCATGCATACATACATGCACATACATACATACATACATACATACATACATACACATACATACATACATACATACACACATACATACATACATACATACATACATACATACATACATACATACATACATACATACATACATACATACATACGTGCATGCATGCATACATACATACATACATACATACATACATACATGCATATATAACGTATATGTATGTTTGTGTACATATATATACACACCTATGCGACCACCCTTCGGGTGATAAGGAGGTTGTGGGGGGGATATGGGGGGGACCAAACATCTAACTCAATCGATCTCACGATCGATCTCACTCAACGGGACACCAAGGGACACCACGGGACACACCATCGGTCTCACTATCGATCTCACTATCGATCTCACTCAACGGGCCACCACGGGGCACCTCTCGATTTCACAATCGGTCTCATTATCGATCTCACTATCGGTCTCACTATCGATCTCACTATCGATCTCACTCAACGGGACACCATAGGACACCACGGGACACACCATCGGTCTCACTATCGATCTCACTATCGATCTCACGATTGATCTCATCCAACGGGGCACCACGGAACACCACGGGACACCTGTCGATCTCACTATCGATCTCACTATCGATCTCACTCAACGGGACACCACGGGGCACCACGGTCGGGGCCACCGCCAGGCGAGCGGGAGGGGGACAATCATTTGTCTTGACGTCGCCCTAGCAACGGCGGGCTATTCCTCTCGCGCGCCCACGCAGCTTCGCCTCGCCCTCACGCACGACACGAACGAAACGAAACGATTTCCTGGTTGGGGGTCTCCGTTCCACTGCGATCTCACCCTCCAACCTCCGATATATAAATGTATGTATGCATATCTACACATGTGTATGTATGTATCTGCAAGTCGATGTGTAGATTACGTGTGCGGGTAGGTGTGCATGTGTATATGTATACGTATATGTATATGCATATGTGTATGTATATGCATATGTATGTGTATGTGTATGTGTATGTGTATGTGTATAGGTATATGTGCACGCATTTCTATGTAGATGTATATGTACATTGCACATGTACATGTATATGCATCGCCCGGTGGACCTGGCCCGACATGGGCCCCCACAAGAGAAACGTTTGGACGGGCGAGTAGCAGGTCTCGCACCCGGCACCGCCGCAGCTGTCGCGGGGGTAGTCCGTGAAGGGGCCGTGCGTCCCGCCCTGCCGCTCGCCCCCCACGGACACCTCGAAGACCGGCCCTGCGGTGGCGGCGTTCGCCTCGGCGTTCGGGCACCCGTGCCCGACGACGTACCTGTAGCTCACCTGGAGCACCTCGGAGGACGAGACCTCTTGGCGGCGCGCACGCGGGGGCATGGGGGGGAAGGGGGGAAGGCTTCTCAGAAAGAGGCCATTCGGGTTCCAGCTGGCGGCGAAAATGGCTGATGGGTACGTGCTGAAGAGACCCTGAGCGCCACCGCTGGAACCCATTGTGTTGGCTGAAGCCGGGTCCGCCTCTCGGCGCTCGTCTGATCTCATCAGAAGGCGCCCGCCCTGCATCCACACACAAGGCCCGCGCCTTCGGAGAAGCAAGGGTGCTTTTCAGAAGCCTTCCCCCCTCCCCCCCTGATTGCCCCCCGCTGCGCGCGGCTGAACCTCGCAGGGCTCGGGGAAGGTCACGGCGGCCTCCTGGCCGGGCTCCCCGGAGCAGATGGCCTCGCCCGAGGACGTGGCCCCGCCGGCGAGGGTGAGGCTCTTGATGCCGTCCGCCAGCGAGCTGAAGAGCTCTCCGTTCGCCGCCCCCTGCTCCCCCGCCTGCGGGGTGCCGAAGGCCTGGAAGTAGTTCAGGCCACCGCTGCTGCCGTAGTAGCTGTCCATCACGAACTTCACGAAGCGTATGCCGCTCGAGGGGCCCGTGTTCGACAGGACGAGGGGGTGGTCCTTGATCGGCTCGCATCTCGCCAGCGTCCCCGACGCGGCGACAGCAAAATTGACGCTGTCGCTGGATACCATGATGGTGTAGTCCTTCGTGGACCTGTCGTTGTGCGGAGTGTTGCACGTGTTCAGGAGATGGAACTCGGTCACAGTGCATGCAGTGTCCAACTTTACAATGAACCATGATGTATACCCGTTGGGAGACAGCCACGTCTGCTGATTGTTGTGACTCCCGCCTTCCCATGTTGAGTCCAGAACGGCCGAGGCCGGGAATCGGGCATCGTAGACTGGCCCGTGATCGTATATGGCACCGCTCAGAGGGTCAGCGACGGTGATCGGCTGAGGGGCTCCAAGAGCGTGGAAGTAGTTCAGACCCCCACTGGAGCCGTAGTAGCTGTCCATCACGAACTTGACATACAGAATCTCCACTCGTGGGCCTTTGTTGAGGACGAGCAGAGGCGTGTCCTTGATGGGCTGGCAACGCTCCAGTGTTCCTGTTGCAGCAGTTTCCCAACTCAAGCTGTCTTTCGACACCAATACAGTGTAATCCTTTGTTGACCGGTCATTGTACGGTGTGTTGCAAGTGTTCAGGATATGGAATGCCGTCACGTTGCACACAGTGGACAGCCTGAGAGTGAACCATGAAGTTTGCCCATTAGGAGACAGCCATGTCTGGTGGTTGTTATGGCTGCCACCGTGCCACGTCGGATCGAGAATCGCCGAGGCAGGGAATCTGCTGTCGTATATAGGTCCAGCTTCCAGTATTGATGCGTCCAGTGGCTCCATCGGCGTGACCTCTGGGCCGTACAGCTCCCATTCGTCGATGCAGCCGTCGCCATCGGACAGCACCAGGCGGAACGCCGTCGCTGTGACGGGGAGCGTGAACTTGAAATACTCGAACCCGTAGGTCTTGCGAGAAAACGCTCCCGCGGAGCTCCAGGCCGAGTCTGGCGTCAGCTGGTTGGCTCCGAGCTCGGCGGTGTACTGCACTTCGTACGTGCCGCCGATGCGGTCGTCGCAGCAGCTCCCCTCGCCCCGGCGGGACACCCGGAAGCCCATGATCTGCGACTCCCGTGGGAAGCGCACGCCGACGAAGCCGCCGGCGACGCCGGGGATCCAGGAGTGGCCGTTGCCGAGGCGCCCGTCGTTGATGTTCTGGTAGCAGTGGATGCCGCTGCCGGCGCTGCCGCTGCTGTTGCCCTCCCCTGGCCCGGTGAAGGTGCAGGCGCCCTGCAGGCTGGACGAGGCGAAGGGCACGGCACCGCCGCGGGCTGCGGCGTAGTTGTGCGGAGGCATCTGGCCTGCCCCCGACGGGACCATGGTGACGACCTTCGGAGGGAGGCGGGGGGGGGGCGAGGGGGGCCGAGGGGGGGCGGGGTCCGAGGGGGGGGGGGCGAAGGGGAGGTGGGGGGGGGCGAGGAGGGGGCGGGAGGGGGGACGGGGAGGGCGAGGAGGCGGGCGGGCGGGTGGGACCATGGCAAAGGGGGCGACCTTCCCGCTTATCGAGAGGGGTCATGGGCGTGGCTGTAAAGAAGGCTTCTCGGATGGCGGTGGCGGGAGGGCTCTGAGAAGAAGCCCCCGTGCCTTTTTACGTGGCCAGCCCCCTCGCCCCAGTCCTTTGTGCGCGCCGCCGAGACCTGCGGGGAACCAAGGGCTCGGAAGTACTGCAGGCCGCCGCCCAGACCGTAGTAGCTGTCGACTGAGAATTTGACGTACAGGATGCTGTCCTGCGGGCCAGTGTTCTCTACGGTCGCAGGGTTCTCCACGATGGGAGCGCAGTTCGCAAGCCTGCCTGTTGCAGCGACGCTCCAGTCATTCCCATCTGTCGACACCATAATCGTGTAGTCTTTAGTTGAGCGGTCGTTGTGCGGACTATTGCACGTATTCAGCAGCTCGAAGCCGATCACCGTGCATACTTTCTCCAGCTTGAGCGTCAGCCACGAGGTCTGCCCATCAGGAGTTAGCCAGGTCTGATAGTTGTACGATGCTCCTCCATGCCAAGTTGCATCAAGCACGGCGGACGCGGGGTACTGGGAACTATAAACAGGTCCGTGCTCGAATACGTAGGCCGGCAGAGGTTCCTCTGCCACACGAGCTGGAACCCCAAACGCCTGGAAATAGGTCAGCCCACCACTCCGTCCATAGAAGCTATCGATCGCAAACCTGACGTACAAAATCTTGTCCTGGGGTGGTTAGGTAGGGAACACAACTGTATACACCGAAACTTTTGTTCCGGCTCTGCACTGACGCTTGCACCGGAAAACGGATCCTGGTGTATACGGGACCCTGGTGTTAACATTTCCCTTGTTCCCCTGGGACTCGGCACCGAAACCTGAAGCGACGCATCTGTTCCCGACGTCGCGCGGTCGCCTAATTGGTCGACAACTGCCGTTTCGGGATTCAATGAACGGCTCAGCCGTATTCCATATAATCACGATATTTCATGTTGTGCTCTATCATGTCCTGTTCTGTTCTCGACGGGCCGGCGTGACGTCGTGACGCCTGTGACAGTACATACGTCGTCTGTTATGTTCCTTTCCACTTATGCTTCTCTTCTGATTGTGTTATGCTATGACCATCCTTGTCACCATATAAATTGAAATGTTATGGTATGATCTGCTCTGCGACACTATGGTATGACTTGATGTGTGATGCCACACTATATTATATTATGTTTTGTTCCGTGATGCTGTTGACAACTCGGCTCAACATAATATATTTTGATACGCTCTGCTAATGCAATTCGATGTGCTTGCTGTCGTGTTATGACACATCCCCAGGACGAAAGTTTTTCCTCTTGGGCCCCGAACGACGGCTTCAAGTCTTGATCAAACACGGATGAGACAACCGCCGTCGGATCCTTTGAAGTTCGCACGGATCCACTTGTGGCACGCGGGGTATTGGTGTCGGTGGATCCGATTTCCCTCCGCGCGGATCCGATTTCGGATTTTCTGGATCCGCGTCCTGCCTTATCTTTTTCGGCGGATCCGATTTTTACCCCTTTTGAAGTTATACGAATTAAAACGAGAAGCCGGAAGAAATCGGATCCGCGGACCCCGGAACCCACCCGTGTTAAGATTCTACGGGGAAAGTGGATTCGGTTATCAACTTCCCAAGATGGATCTTCAACTCCACTGCCTCGCGCACTCCCTTTAACTTTCCGCGCACGCGGGTCCCACTCAACGTGAATGCATATCTCTCCCTCCGGTTGCTGCACGCAACTCGTCTAGACGCCGTGCGTTCGGCGGCGCCGACGTTAGCTGTCCTACTCATCATCGCCATTTGCACCTCAAGAGGAAAATCGCTCGTCCTGCGAAAGTATGATCTGTGATGCTGTCATGCTATGATCTGATATGTTATGTCATCGTGTGTTATGGTATGATTTGCTATGTGCTGTTACGTTGTGTTACGTCGACTTCTGTTCTGTCATGCTCTGCTACGGTATGTTATGTGATGTTATGTTTGTTGACGGCTCGGCTCTGTATAATGTATCTGATCTGCCCTGCTAATATGTGTCGCTATGCTCTGCTATCGTGATATGGCATGTTCTGTAATGCTATGTCATGATATGATATGGGTTATGTTGTGTTACGTCGCCTTCTGTTCTGTCATGTTCTGATCTGGTGTGTTCTGTGATGTTCTTTTGCCATAGTTGTCCATGGCATTGCTATGTTATGGTATGTCAGGTTCTGTCATGCTCGTGTTCAGTCCTGTCATGTTCTGTTGTATCATGGATTGTTCTGTCGTGTTCGACGTCGCAATTCTCTGCTGTCGTGTTATGGCATGTTATGTGATTATGTGCCATGATATGATGTGTTCTGCCAATGTGTGTTATGTTATGCTCGGCTCTGTTATGTTATTGTGTGTTATGTCGTCTTCTGTTCTGTCAATGGGCTGCACTAATATGTTATGTGATGTGATACTTGCTGCCGGCCCAGCTGTGTATGATGTATTCTGATCTGGTATGAGAATATGTGTCGCTATGCTCTGCTGTCGTGTAATGACATATTCGATGATGTTGTGTCATGGTATGAAAGGTTATGTCAAGGTGTATTATAGTATGCTCGGTTATGTTCTGTCATGTTTTATTATGTCACCTTATGATATTTCATGTTCTGCTCTGGTATGTTCTGTGATGTTATGGTTTTTGCCCTATTTTGTAATGGCAGTGTAATGTTATAGTATGTTATGTCATGTTCTGTCATGCTCGTGTTTTGTTATGTCATGCTCTGCTGTGTCATGTTGTGTTCTGTCGTGTTCGTCGTCGCTATGCTCTGCTGTCGTGTGATGATATGTTATGTGATGCGGGGGCATGATGCGATCTGTTATGCCAAAGTGTGTTATGGTATGATATGTGATGTTATGGTATGTTGTAGTATGTCGTATGGTATAATGTACTATTTTGCTCTGGTATGTTCTGTGATGTTATATCATGCTTTATGTTGTCATGACGTTGCTATATTATGTTCTGCCATGGTCTGTCATGCTTGTGTTCTGTCCTGTCCTTTAATGTTATGTAAGTTTGTCTTCTGTCGTGTTCGTCATTGCTATTCTCTGTTGTCGTACTATGACATGTGATGTGATTATGTGTCCAGATCTGGTATGTCCTGCCAATATGTGTAATGTTATCATCGGCTCTGTTATGTTATGTCGTAAAGTGCCGTCTTCTGTTATGTCATGTTATGTTCTGGTATGTTATGTGGTGTTTTGTCATGCTCTACTCAGTCATGGTCTTTATATGCTCTATTCTGTCAGGTTATGTCATGATCTGCTATGTTCTGTCATGTCCTGGTTTGTCATGTTGTGTTCTGTCGTTTTCGTCGAGGGCGCGAGGCGGGTCACCGGGACTCGGGGATCATCGGGACAACTTAGGGTCTGGCGGCCGCGGTCTGCAATGTGGGGTTGGCTGGGCGCGAGGCGGAACAACCGGGACTCTCGGGGATCATCGGGACAACTTGGGCACTGGCGGCCGCGGTATGCAAAGTGGGGTTGGCCAGGAGCGAGGCGGGATACACAGGACCCTCGGGACAATGTGGGGCACTGGCGGCCGCGGTGTGCAGGGTGGGATTGGCCGGGGGACCTTGTCTTGAAATCTAGTCCCCCCAACCTGTCGGGTGGGGAAAAAGGAGGGGAAGGAGGCGGCAAGGACAAGGATGAGGAGGCGGGGCGGAGAGCGGAGACAGCGTGACTTCGGGACGCTTGTCGCGTTCGACGCGTCATCGACTCGGTCATTGCTGCGCCTGTTTGTTCCTGTGGTGAGCCTGACAACGGGGCGGCGCCGTGCAGCGGACGTGATTTTGTGCTGTAGTATGTTTCGGTGGATTCTGCCCCAATGTAGTATGTGACAGTGTTCTCTGTTATGTTCTGACCTCGACGGGCCAGCGTGACGTCGTGACGCCTGGGCGAGGCCCTGGAGTGTTGGCTACTGCATACGTGATGTTGTGCTATAGCGCGATTGATTGGAATATGCTGCATACTGTGTTCTGTGATGTTCTGTGATGTACTAGTCTGATCTGCTCTTTTGGTGTGTTTTGCCATATCCTGTTCTGTCGTGATGCTCCTCTCCACTACTGCCTTTGCTGTATTCAAAAATGTTCGAACAAGTTCCATGTGGCACGTGGTAACGGTCTCTCATGTTATGTTCTGTTATGTCCGGTTATGTCCTCGACGGGCCAGCGCGACGCCTTGAGGCTTGGGCGACGCCGTAGAGTGGTGGCTTCTGTAGAGGCGATGTTGTGCTATAGTGTGTTTGGTTGGTTTCTGCCCCGTTGTAAGATGTGATACTGTGTGCTGTGATGTTGTGATCTCGACGGGCCAGCGCGACGTCGCGACTCCTGTCACTTCCACCATGTTCTATGTAGTAACGCTCTACCATGTGATGCTTTGTTATGTCCTGCTATGTTCTCGGTGGACTGGCGTGACGTCTTGACGCCTGGGCGACGCCGTGGAGGGGTGGCTACTGCATACGTGATGTTGTGCTATAGTGTGAGTGTTACGTCAATGCTGCGTTTGACAATCCTGTCGTTCTCTTCCTTCTGCTTTCGCCAAAGCCCGACGACACCAATATATCCCAAATGTCTCAAGGCAACCGTTCTTGTCAACCTACCGGTAGTCTTGTCAACTTACTGGGGGTTCTTGCTGACCCCGGGGCGTCCTCCCAGACGTGGTACAGGTCGGCGGAGTATTTGCGGAAGCTGGAATATCCATGGTCCTGCTGCTGCGAGTGTGTGTGTGTGTGTTTTCCCACCGGTAAGCTCGAGAACAAGATACTCAAATGCGCACGTGTGTTGGCTGTGTGAGGCCAGGCTGGCGGGGAAGACACTCCAATACCGAATGTGGATATAGCTGAGATGTGTTTTTACTAGATTTGGTTCTCCCCCGCCTGGCCGCCTCCAGCCAGAGATCAGAAAGAGCTCCCCCTAGGCCTTGGGACCCCAGGAGGGGGCTTACAAGCGCCTTGCCCTCACCACTGGGTGCTCCTCTCGAGCCCATGCGCGATGGGCATTACAGCAATGAGTGTGCTTGCAATCAGAGGTCTACTGCCTTGGAGGAATGAACACCTGATGAGCAACAGCGCTGCGCACATGACCGCTTTTGAACGCCAGGCGTACAGCGACTGTTACAGCACAGACTGAAAGCATCATCAGTGATATCAAGATATGTTATAATATGCTCTGTTCCATGATGCTGTTGACGAGTCAGTATAGTACGATCTACCCTATTAGTATGTTTTGCTGTCCTGTTATGTCGTGGTACTCCTCTCCACCAGTGCACAGCTGTCGCTTCTGGATTCAAAACGGCTCAACCGTGTTCCAGTTCCATGTGGTCGCGTTCTTTCATGTTATGCTTTCGTATGCCCTGCTGTGTTTTCGACAGGACGTCGTGACGTCGTAACGCCTGCGACGTTAGATGCGTCGTCTGTTCTGATGTTCTTCGCTTATCCGCTTATCTTCTGATTGTTTTGCTCATCTCTGTCACCACATGATTTAAGATGTTATGTGATGGTCTGCTCTGTGGAACTAATTCCCCCCCCCCCCCTAAAAAATCCGCATCCCCTCCCGGGGGCTTTGGGATGAAGCGGACAGAGCAAAGCACGGACTGAGCAGGACAGCAGTTCCGCACAAACGGAACCAACACGGAGGAACCCAGCACGCTGGTTCCCGTCACCCGCCACTGCCTAGGAGAACAGTCAGCAAGCAAAATCGCGATACGATATTCCCAAACTTCGTATCGGTGAGACGGGGTGGAGAGGAGGGGGAAGAAGAAAGAGGGAGACAGGGGAGGAATGAGCTAAATGAACCAGGCTTCAAATCGAGGATAGGCCGGTACATCCAAATTGTCATCGACCAAAGCGAGGTCGACAACGCATGCACAGCGCAGCGATGTCCTGCGAACGTGGCCAAAATTCTGGCGACGGACGCTGGGGACGGGCCTCAAATCGAGGATAGGCCGGTACACCCAAAACTGAGGAGGCGGTGGGCAAAGGCGGCAACACGCAACGAAAAGGTCACGAACTTCGGCCTGTGAAAACGGACGGGGGAGCAAGAGAGAGGAGGAGGAGCGAGAGAGCGTGGCTCGCGCGTGCGCAGACCGACGAACTTTTTAGTCGCTGGCGCTCGCACGGATGTCCCCACGAGCGCGGCCCCAAGAGGGGCGACAAATGAAACAGCACACGAAGTTGGCTTGGTAAATGGGCGGCGGCGGCGGCAGCGGCAGGGACGGACAGAGGGAGGGAAGGGGAGGCGAGGAGACCGAGGAGACGGACAAGCAAGACAAGCCTGCTCTGTGGAACTATGTTAAGACATGACCTGGTATGTGATATTATGTTCTAGTATGTTCTGTTCCGTGATGTTTTTGGCAACTCGGCTCAATATAGTCTTTGATGCTCCGTGATGCTGTTGACAGCTCGGCTTACTACTATCATGAAAAGTGTGTTATGTTATGCTCCGTTGTGTTGTGTTATATTGTGATATGTCGTCGTCTGTTATGTCATGGTCTGCTCTGGTATGTTCTGTGATGTTCTGTTTGTTGGCAGTTCGGCTTTGTAGAATGTAGTATGATATGCTCTGCTAATAGGTGTCGCTATGCTCTGTCGTGCTATGAAATTTGATGTGATGCTGTGCCATGATATGATCTGTTATGCAATAGAGTGTTATGCTATACTCGGCTAGGTTGTGTTATACACTATTATGTTATGGCATGGTCTGCTCTGGTATGTTCTGTGATGTTATAGTATGATCTAGTTTGTCATGGCATTGCTGTTATGCTCTGTCACGTTCTGCCATGCTCGTGTTCTGCTCTGACATGTTAAAGTTAAAGACGGGGCCTTAAAAGGCAAGTGGCGGCCAGAACGCAGGCAGGCCCAGACGGGGCCCGCGTCCCCGAAAGAGGCCGCGCCAGGCGGGCACCGAGGGCGGCGGAAGCCGACTCACCTATGGGAGCAGCATGCGCAGCCACAACGATGCACTGGGCGGCACACTCACTCACACAATCGCAGGCTGCGCGCCACGGCGGGCGATGCGGCGGCGTACCCTGCGGTCCTCCAGGGCACCGACCGCTGCCATGGCCGCGGCGGCGAGCTCATTCTCCGCGACGCCGAAGGCCCCAAGGAGGGCCGCCCTCGCTGCGGCTGGCCGCCGCAGAGGCAAGCTGGCGTCGGCGGCCGCCGCGGGCGCGACCGCGACCGCCAACACAGGGCCCCGCACCTCAGCGGGCGCCGCGGCCGCCGCGGAGGCGCTGCCTGCCGAGCTCGCAGCAGCCGAGGGGCCGATCTCTGGCCCCGCCACAATGCCGAGCCACTCCAGGTACTGCTCCTGCGCGTGGTCAGGCAGCGGCCACTGCGATCGCAGAGCAGGGATGCCTTCTCCCTTTCACTCTGTGCCTGGCAGTTCGGGACCCTTCTTGCCTCCTGCCACCAGGATGGAGTCCCCGAAGCCACAGGCTGCGCTGGTTCCTGCCACCTTTGTCGGCCTTGTCGCCTGGGCAATGCTCCTTGAGGCGTGGCCTTACGCCAGAGCGACTGCGACTTCCCAGCGTCATGTAGGCGCCGCACTTGGTGCACGCCACGAGCTCCTGGGTCCCGTCTCCCTCTCCCGTGCAGGCGTAGGCGAGGGCGTGTCCCAGGATGCTGAAGGCTGCAACGCTGGCCGAGAGGGCGGCAGTGCTGCTGCTAGCCGAGCGGGCGCTCTCCAGGCGCGGCCGCTTGGCGCTCGGCGCAAGGCTAGCGGCCCCCTCCGCTGCCTGCGACGCCTCCGCAGCGGCGAAGCGAACCTGGCGTCGCTCAGCCGCAGGCGGCAGCCCTTCACAGTCCTTGGCCGCGATGTCCTGCCAGAGGATGGCTGCCCGACTGATCCAGCGCCCGAGCTCCAGCACGATCTCCGCCAGCGCGTGGTGCTCGCCGGCCGTATGCCTGTCCACTGCGTGCATCAGGGCCCCCATCTTGGCGAGGCGGTCAGCATGCTCGTTGCCGCGCCGCTGGGCCTCCGTCAAGCGCCCGCCGAGCACCGCCTGTCTTGAGCAGTGGGCTGGCACCTTCCTCACAGCGAAAGTCCCTGGCTCGAGGCATGCCAGGATCCTGCCCCACAGATGGGCGTTGGCCCTGCTGGGCTTGGTCGCGTATGCACGCCCCCTGCGCAGGCAGGTCACGGTGGAGCTGCAGTCGATGTTGACTTCCTCGACTGCTGGCCCAGCAAAGGTGGCGAGCATCCACACGACGAAGTCCTCGCCGTCCTTGGCCGCCTGCTGCGGGCAGAGGTCTCGCCTGACGGTGCCGTAGACCCCTGCGGCCAAGTTGCCGTCATCGTCGCACTGTGCAATGGCCCACCCCGCGCGGCGGAGGGCACTGAACTGCGGCTCGAGGGCAGAGCCATCCAGGTACAGCTTGCCGTTGAGCTTCTCGTCGGCTGGCCTGCTGACCCACTGCGCCCACGTGGCGTCAGTGCGGCGACCCTGGGGCGGCGCTGGGGCAGGCAACCAACAGCGGGCGAAATTCTCGCCAGCGCACTCCCCGTGGGCCCTCGCTCTCTCCGCGCACCTCTTCAGCCGTGCGGACACTCCGTCGCGCCACTGGGGCTCAAGCACGGGGCACTCGAACAGGCGGTGCCACAAAGTGCCTCGCTCGGCCCCACAGCGGCAGCAGCACGCGTGCCGCCGCTCTCCTGCGTCGAAGAGTCTGGCCTGCGTCCAGTGCGTGTTGGAGACGTAGGCCCCCAGCGCATTCTGCCCCCTCGCGTTCAGCTCGCTGTCGGGCCCAAGCAGCCGCCCGATGGCGTCCCAGTACAGGGGCCGCTGCAGGAGGGGGTCGTGGCTGAGCTTCCGCATCTCGCGGCGATCGGAGGCACGCCTGGCGCCGAGGCTAGCCTCCAGCCCTAGCTCCCGAGGCCCGAGGAGCAAGAGGTCGAGTTCGTCGCCAAGGTCCGTGACGAGGTAGCGCTCGGACTTGAAGTGCCAGCCGATCCGGGCGAGGGTCAGCACCGCCGCGTCGATGGGGGAGGCGCAGTGCTTCCACGGCGTGTCGGCAGCAGCGTGCCTGGCTACCGCCGCCTCGAGCCCCCGCGCCATCATCCTGTGCAGCAGCTCGGCAGACTGCAGGAGGCTCGCCGGCATCTGGACCGCATGGCCCGCCGCGGGGTCCAGGTCGCGCCTCCTCCTGAGCTCGGCGCATCGCATGCGGAGCCCAAGCGCGGCGCCCATGGGGGGCGCTCCTGCACTGCGGCACGCTGCGAGCCTCCAGCTGTGCAGCTCACCGTCCGCGATGCCCGTGACCGTACGCCCCCACACCATGCTGGCTGCGGGCCCAGCCTTGTGGATGAGGTCCACCTCCACGCCCGCAGCTCGCAAGCAGCCCAGCCTGCGCGCGCGGCGAAGCGCCCCAGCAACACGGACACGGCCCTCATGCACTCCCCTCCTCGTGATGGTGGCGTCCGTGCCGAGGTTCCTGGCCTGCAAGGTCTTACGGAAGGTCCAGCCCTGCGACTTCCAGAACTCACCCAGCTGGAGCCCCAGGCTGGGGCTCGAGGCGAGGAAGGTCGTCTTGGCGGCACTGATGGGCAGGTGCTGGCTACGGAGGATGCACGCCACTTCCAGCCCAGCTGCGCCCAGCTGCGCAGCGACCAGACGCTCCGTGCCGACGGCCTGCAGCGCGATATCCTCGACGACGTTGCGTGCCACCACCAGCGGCCTGCCTCCCGCCGAGGCCGCGCGCAAGGCAGCAAGCACGGGCAGCTTGGCCACCGTGGTAGCGCACGCACGCCCTGCGAGGACCGTCCCGCTGGTGGTGAAAGACTCGGTGGCCATGCCCACGGAACAGAGGAACCGCGGGCTCTGGTAGAGCACGAGGAGGCGGCGCAGCAACTTCAGGTTGAAGCCGTGCTCGATCCCGCACTGCCACAGGACGTCATGCCGCAGGTTCTCGTAGAACTTGGTGGTGTCCAGAAAGAGGCTGGCGGCGGCAAACCCGTGCTCACGTGCATAGGCAGCGAAGGCGTTGTGCAGCCAGCCCGCCTTCTCGCAGCCGCGGTCAGCCTTGCCCCAGAAAAAGCGGTGGTCGTGCTCCGCCTCCCACAGCGCACAGATCGGCTGCCTCAGGCGGCTCCAGATGCGCATGAGCAGCGGGATCAGAGCAATAGGTCGGACCCCTCCGTCAGCCTTGGGGATGAAGACCATCATGGTGGCCTGGCCGCCCAGGGCCTGGGGTTGCTCCTCATATGCCTCCAGGAGGTCCAGGCACCGCCGCTGCAGGGCAACTGGGAGCAGCAGCAGCTGCCGCAGGTGGAGCTGGTCTGCCCCCAGGCCTGCCGTAGGCGAGTAGCGCCTGCAGACAGCCTGCAGCATCTCCAGGCTGAGGGGAGGCAGGGTCGCTCCGCGGACGTCCCAGCTGCCGACTCCAGCACCCGCTTGGAAGCCCTCCTGCTGCCAGAGGGCCTGCCAGTTGGCCCCCAGCTGCCCGACTGCCAGCATGCCAGCCAAGGGCCCGCCAGTGTCAGGGTCGACCACCTGTGGGGGCGGCGCCGCCTTGGCGAACCTATGGGCCAACCTGCCACCCTTCTGCACTGCTTCCTTGGCCCATGCTCGCCAGGAGGCCGAGCTCTTGCACCCATCTCGCTTCTGGGAACATGCGAGGCGCCGCTGCAGCACTGCAATCGCCTTTGGGTCTCCGTGAAGGCCAGCCTGGCCAACTACGTCGCCCCACTCACTGGTGTCGAACCCGAGGGCGTCGACCTCGTCCTCCTCACAGGCGGCGACCGTGGCAGCCTCCACATCGGCGAGGGCCCGCTCGACCTGCCGCTCGCACCAGGCCTCGTGCGCGGGCTGCCAACGCTTCGTCTTGTCCGCAGTGAGCCTCTGGAGGGCGACATCGAGGGCCTGGCGGATGGCGTAGGCGAGGGCCGAGTGCCGGTGGGGGTACTCGCGCTTGACCACGGCACTGAGGGGCTCGAGGACAACCTTGGGCCCCGCAGCCCGCCCAAGGTACCTGGGCAGGTCGGCGTCGTCGATGCCGTGGATTCCCACCAAGGTGCTCTCGACGACTTGGATCCACTGCCGAGCGGCCTCGGAGGCGTCGCTCGGCTGGGAGCCCACCTCCCAGGTCCAGCTGCAGGGCTCCGCTTGCCAACGGGTGCGCCCCGCGCGGCGGTGTACCTGCACTGCTGCATCCTCGTGTGGACGGCACTCAGCAGCGTCGACATCAGGAAAACGGCCAGGACGCACGAGCACCTGCACCAGGGCGTCGGGCCTCACGTCCTGCAGCAGCAGCCTCACAGGCTTGTGCGGGTACAGCCCAAAGCCATCCAGAGCCGAGGCCTCCCTGACGCCGTGGGCAAGGCAGAAGGAGCCCACGAACCAGTCGTAAGCATGCTCCGCCCCTTGGGCCACACATGTGCACTCAGCAGGCCCCAGGTACGTGCCGCGCTGCACACGAGGCCAGCCCAACTCGTGCAGCGTGCCAGGCTCCATGTTGAAGTCGCCCTGCGCGAGCCAGGGCATGCCTCGGACAGCACCAGGTCGCCGAAGGCCGCGAAGATGTCGAGGTTGATGCCCTTGGGCCCCAGGGCGTCCTGCAGGTACAGCGAGCACGCCAGAAACTGCAGCCCAGACGCCGCGGTGATCGTGACCCCAATCATGCGATGCCTCAAGTCACATGGCGTCGCCCACGCACTCTCCGCAGCCTGCAGGTCGCTGCGCACAAGGGTCGCCACGCCCCCTGAGTTCGCGAGCGGGCCCTCCTTGTCCGTGGGCGCGGCTGCGTGGAGGAACGCCGTGCACCCCATGCGGCGCGCCGCGCCCCTGGCCTCCTCCAGGCGGAGCGGCGCCAGGCGAGTCTCCCGGAGCATTACCAGGTGCGGCCTGGCACCATGCCGATCGATGTAGGCCTCGAAGACCTCCAGGCTCCTTCTCCAAGTGTTGCCGTTGACCCCGAGCACCTCCAGCCCGCATCGGACATCCAGGGCTGCCGTTGACGCTTGGCCTGGCGCCTGTGGGCCCTGGGCCCTCCCGAGGTCGAGGGGCCGCTGTCCTCCGATGCGGGCTGCATCGGCGCCGCCGCCCGCTCTCTGCCTCGGCTCAGCCGCTCTGGTGCTGCTAAATGCACGACCTCCCTGGCCTCGATCCTCCGCTGCCACTCCTGGCTGCAGGCCCAGCAGGGCGAGGAGCAAGAGGGGCCAGGTCAGCAGCCTCGGCCACCAGCTCCCGCTTCGACGCCTGGGCGACCTTCGGCCACCCGCCACGGGCTTCACCGCGGCGCTCTGCCTGGCAGCGCTCCGCAGCGCTCTGCGGCTGCCAGGGCTCGGTCGCTCCAGCGTGGGTGCTGTCCTCGTTGCTGACCTCCTCCATGGGGCATGAGTCCGCCCATGGCGCCCTTCTTGGCGCAGCGGGGGCTTGGGCGAGCAGCGTGCGCACGGCCTCCACTTGGGTCCGAATGGCTGCCCATGCCACCTCGAAGTTGCTGGATCCCCAAGCCGCAGGCAGCTTGTCCAGCTGCACGAGGAGCCCAGGGACCTCGGTGGACCCTGCCCACTCCGCTGCCCGCTGACGCCGCTGCGCCTCGGCCTCCGCCCTAGCGTCCTCCTCGAGGGCGCGGACGGTGCGGGATGCCTCTTCCAACTCTGCGTCGAGCTGCGCCAGCTTCTGCTGGACCTTCTGGAGCTTGGCCTTGGCGAGGTCGCGCGCCGCCTGCTTCTGCTCCAGGCTCTGGCGCGCGGCACGGAGTCGCCTCTCTCCCTTGCTGATGGCGTTCGCCTCCTTGCGAAGCAGCGTCGACCGCGGCAGGGAGGATGCCTTCTGCTCCGCCGCAGCCCGCTGGGCCGCGCCCAGCTCGGCGCGCTTGGCCTCCGGCTGGCTGGCGACGACGTCGGTGAAGCTGCCGTCCACGCCGTCGGGCGGCTCAGCCTGCAGCGCTCCAACTGCTCGACCACTGCCTGCAGCCTCTCGATCGCCGTGGCGTCGCCGCCGCTGGGCGTCCCGCTGCCGCCCGACGCCGTGGTCTGCGACTCGGTGGATGCCGCACTCGCAGCCGCACTGCGGGCCTGCCTCTGGGCACGGCGCCCCCGTGGCTGGTCCACCCAGCCGTCCTTGTCCGCCTGGGGCCTAGCCCTGGCGGCAGCAGCATCCAGCACCCACGGCGGTGCCGAGTAGCCGCAGCCGAGGCACGTGGCACGCCAGTCCCAATTCCAACCTCCGCAGCTGCACATCCAGTACGTCTTGCTGCGCCTGCTGCCACCACCGCCGCAGCGCGCGGGCCGCGCCATGGCCACTGCCGCACGGGCCGACAGGCTGCGCCTCAGCGCGGGGACAACAGGGAGCGAAACAACGAATTGCACTGGCCCAAAGCGAGGAGACCCTCGCGCTCAGAACGCCGCGGACGACTTGCGGTCGTCGGGTGCTCCATGGCCTTGAGCCAAAATTGCTACGGATGTTCTGGCATGTTCTGTTGTGTCATGATGTGTTCTGTCGTGGTCGTCGTCGCTATGCTCTACTGTCGTGTTATGATATGATCCGTATGCTGTGTCATGGTATGATGGGTTATTTCAACACGTGTTATGGTATGCTCGGCTGTGTTATGGTATGTTGTGGTATGGCATGTTCTGTTCTGCAATGCTCTGATCTGGTATGTTATGTGATGTTATGTTTGTTGACGGATCGGCTCTGTATAGGGTAGTATCATATGCTCTGCTAGTATGTGTCGCTCTGCTCTGCTGTCGAGTTATGATATGTTATGTGATGCTGCGTCAGGATACGTCATAGTATTTCAAGGTGTGTTCTGCCATGCTCGGTTATATTATGCGATGCTGAGTTATGTTATGTTATGCCATGTTCTACTCTGCAATGTTCTGTGACGTTATAGTATGCTCTAGTTTGTCATGGCATTGCTATGCCATGTACTGTCATGTTATACCATGCTCGTGTTCTGTTATGTAATGTTATGATCTGCGTGTTCGTCGTCACTAAGCTCTGCTGTCGTGTTCTGATATGCTCCGTGATGTTGTCATGATATGATAGCTTATGTCAAGGTGTGTTAGCTATGTTATGCTCGGTTATAGTATGTCATGTTGTGTTATGTCGTGTTCGTCGAAGGCGCGAGGCGGGATCATCGGAACAACTTGAGGTCTGGTGGCCGCGGTATGCAAGGTGGGGTTGGCCGGGCGCGATGCGGGACACCCGGGATACTCGGGACACTCGGACAACTTCGGGTCTGGCGGCCGCGGTATGCAGGGTGGGGTTGGCCGGGGACCTGTTCTTGAAATCTAGCAACCCCAACCTTTCGGGCGGGGAACAAACATGCACCATTCCACCCCGCCGTCGTCCCCGACATTCAGAAAGTTCTGGGATTGAAAAAACAGCCCGCCATTGGTAATGTACATATTCCAATTTCCGATTGGGTCTGGGGTTGCGTGCAGACGCTCCCTTGAAGCATTCCCGGCTGGCCACGAGAGGCACCCCGAACAGTCCGGGTCGGTCTCGACACTCCAACCGTGTGGCGAGCGCCCCAGGCCTGAGGGGACCCGCTGAGGGCCCCCGACTCCGCCTGTGGGGGGGCCTGTTGAAACCGCCCGGGGCTGCTCGGGGGGCCTGTTGAGGCCAGCCAGGGCCACCTCAGAGGGCTGTCGGTACGCAGCCTTGGACCTTACCCATAGAGGAAGAAAAAACTGCATAAACATGTACTTTTCGATGTCCTGGATCTGCGCTGGACCCCCCTCCCTGGCGCGCTCCGCGCGCCAGGGGCGGCGCCGGAGGCGCCGCCGGGGGGCCCAGCGCAGATCCGAGCAATCCGCGCAGAGCACCACAAGTTCATGTTTATGGCGTTTTTTCTTCTCCGACTTACCGTCCTGGGGGCCAGTGTTCCTGATGCTCTCTGGGGCGTTCTTCGGCTCGCAGGACGCCAGCGTGCCGGCGGCGCCTACAGTCCAGTTCGCGCCGTCCCCGGAGACCAGGATCGAGTAGTCCTTCGTGGATCGCGGCTCGGGCCGACCGGCCAGGCAGAGGTTGAGGAGCTTGAACACGACCACCCTGCTCGGGCGGGTGGTCATGGGGGGTGGCCCAAACGGGGGGTGAAGACAAAGGCCCCAAAGGAGCCCTGTAGGACCCCTTTGGGAGCCAGTAGGGGCCCAAAAGGCGCCCTAGAGTGCCTCTTTAGAGCTCTTCTCTTCACCCCTCATTTGGGTCACCCCCCAATGCCACCCGCCCGACCTGCTCACCCTGGCCAGTTTCAGGGTGAAGTAGGACGGCATCCCATCAGGCGAGCACCACTCCTGCCCGTCGGAGGCGCTCAGGACGGCGGACGCGGGGTAGGACTCGCTAGCGGCCAGTCCTTCGTCGAAGATGGATGCCTGCAGCGGCTCAGTGGCGACGTCTGGCGGGACCTCCCCTGCCGCGTGACAGTAGCAGAGCCGCCTCCTCTTCCCATTCGAGGTTGGCCGCCTGGAGCAAGAGTATGTGGTTGAGCCGCGGTCCGCAGGAGCGTAGTAGCACTGATGCTTTGGGTCTGCCTCTGGGTCGAAGAAGGGCACTGCCTGCCATGCCGCCTCCGCGCACTCTGCGGTGGAGACCGTGCCCCGGACATGCCCGATCATGTCGAGGACCTTGTCCGAGGAGTCCACGTCGCCGCTGTGGGCCTCCAGCGCCTCCTCCGTGCAGATCAGGCCGACCGACGCGCACCCCTCGTCGCAGCTCTGGCCCGCGCCGCCGTCGTACCAGCCGTCCTCGCTGACCTCTCGGACGAGGCGGGGCACTGGCGTGTCCTCGTCGCAAGATTCGCTGGACCACACCAGGGCAGCGTCGAAGCCGCAGCCCGAGGCTTCGCCAGCGCCACCCTTTAGCTGCTCGATGGTGCACAAACCCAAGCCACTTGCCTCACACTTGGCCTTGGCCACCATGTGTGTCCCTGTCACGCAGTCCGGGCGCGTGCCAATACCCATGCTATCGCAGCAGACGGTGCCCATGCGCGTGCCTGTGCCATCGGGCGCTGTCAGCGCGTCCGTGGTATCAGCTAGGCAATACTCAGTCTGGTCCCCCACGAACGCTTGTCCTCGTTGCTGGTCAGTCTGGCTGCTGGCGTAACTGCCAGAGACGGCGAAGTGACTCACCGACGTGGCACTCTCGGTAGGCTTTCCGCAAACCCCTGCCGGGAACGTGTCCTCACAGAAGCTCGCGGAGCCGATGTAGCCAGTATTTCCAGAGCTGTCGCTGCACTGGGGGTCTGGAACGCCATCTCCGTCGCAGTCGGCGGTGTCGTTGTAGCGGTCACCAGCCTTGGAGCACCAGGTCGCCGCGCGCATGCACGTCACTGGCCTGTCCCCGACGGCGGACTCCTCGATCGCGTACACCAGGTCTGGCTCTCTACACGAGGACGCCGGAGTCTCCACGTCGCTGATGCTTGGGGGGCTCTTCCTGCAGAGGCAAGCGGTGGACTCGTGCACGGAGAAATACCTGTAGCCACCCAGGACCGCACACTGGTGGCGGCAAGCCACAGCCTTCTCGTTAACGGTTCCCTGCAAGAATGGCCTGCACTGAACGTAGTAGGTCTCGGCATGTCTGTCGCAAGAATACGAGAAGCTTCCAGATCCGCATCCCATGTATGAGTACGGCGGTGCCGAGATCATGAACTTCAGGCCGACGGAAGGCAAATTCCCCTTCTGCTCGCCGTTGGTCCTCGCGCCAGCGAAACCGCCACCATTTGCCGAACACGCCTGCACGTTTTCCTTATACCCGCCGTAGTAAACACCGTTCCCAGCCCAACTGCCGCTGTTGCAGCCGCAATCCCGATCGAGATCGTTCGCGGGTACCACTCCCCAGCAAGTGTCGCCAAACCTGAAGCCGTCCTTGACGCAGGCGTGGCAGAAGAAACCGGTGGGACTGAAGGTCACCTCGAAATTCCTGCTGCTCGTGATGGACGAGATGGGTATGCTAGGCTGCGGCAGAACCTGGTCGAAAATGTCAAAGCCGTGTGGCACGTAGAACTGGACCCACGAGGTGCCCAATGCCCACTCAAGGCGAACCCAATAGTCCCCGCCGTGCGCGTGGCCAATGTCGTAATTGAGTGTCCGCTCGTCGCTGTTGTCGTACTGTGCCCCGTTGCCGCTGCCTGCGGACTCCTCGAAGACCGCCTGCCACTTGAACTCCGTGGCCGCCTGCGTCAAGACGCACATGTGGTAGCCCTCGTAGAAGAAATTCTCCTCCGGCGCGTTCTGGCATTCCTCCGGGTCGTCGGGGTCCCCCTTCATGCAACAGGCGCCCAAAGTCCCGCTCGCCGAGTTGCACTTTGAGCAGTACCCACGGCCGTGGCAACCGTCCCAGCACTCCATCGGTCCCTTAACGTTACCACAATCGATGCACAACGGTGCTTCCACGGTAGCGGTGGTCGTCACCTCGTCTGGCTCTGCGTGACAGACGGCGTAGATCTTTGCGCCAGGATTCGCTGGAACGTTTTTGATGCAGACCCCTCCCACGGGGAGGAAGGCCGTGTCTGAGCCGCAGTGCGTCAGCGCCGTCCACGCCGAGTGGCAGGTGCACCACAAGGGCTCTCCGAAGCTGCATGAGGCAGTGACGTCCATATTGCCCTGATACTTCGAGCTGCTGACCACGGCTATGGTCTTGGCGGTGGAGCACACCGCCTTTGCTTGAACCTTGCCGCTCTGCCAGCTCGAGAAAGCCGTGCACTGAGTGGCGTCCGGGGACACCGTGACACCGTCCCCCGCGTTCTCGGGGATGGACTCGCAGCTCTGCACCCAGTGTCCTCCTGGGCACGTCGCCGTGGCCGAGGTGTCGTCGCCGCCATCGGAGAACCCGCTGATGACCTCCACTGGGTTGGAGTCGGAGTTGACCGGCACCTTCGGGCAGATAGCGAAGACCTTCGAGCCCACGCCGTTGCCTACGGCACGGCGGCGGTTGCTGGACGACGTCGGGATGCTCTTCGTGCAGACGCCGCCGGAGGGCACGAAGCCCGTATCTGAGCCGCAGTTCCTCCAGTACGAGTGGCAGGTGCACCCCAAGGGCTCGCCCGAGGGGCAAGATGCGGTGACCACTTGATTGTCGAGGTATATGCTGCTGCTGGGCCTCGCGGTGGTCGCTGTGGGGGTGCACACCGCATTGGCCCTGATCTTCTCCCCGCTGGAGTAGGCCGTGCACGAGCTTCCGTCCTCAGACACAACCATGCCGTCGCCTTGGTTGCCAGGGGTGGAGTAGCACTGACGCACCCAATGGTTCGCTGGGCACGCGGCCGCACTCGGCGAGTCGTCCTTCGCATCAGACCAATCGCCCTGCACAACGATGGTGGTGTTGATCAGCTCGTCGCCAGGCGACGGGCCGTCCACTTCGCAGAGGGCGCCATTCAGGCAAAGGGCAGACCCCGCGGTGTTGCTGTCGCCGCTGTCCACGACGACGCTCACTGTGCTTGCCGCGTAGCTGCAGCCATCTTTGCATATCATGGGGTGGAACGTGCCACCGTAGTCCGTGGAGTATTCGATGGAACCCAACCAAGCGTGTCCGCTACTCGGATTCTGGACCTGCAGCTTCGGCAGCTCTGGGTAGCCCCTGGCGAGAACCACGCTTCCTGGCCCCCAATCGCTGCTGGCCACCTCTTCGAACCCCGCACCCTCGTCCACGTTCACGCTGAGGTGGCCAACGGAGATGTCCTGGCTAGTCAGGATTCTGATGCTGTACCTATACGCCTTGATCTCGCAGGTAGAGCCGTCCTTGCAGCGGGTACCCGAGGTCCCTTCGCTGCCACAATCGCCGCCTTCGACGTTGATCGCTGCAGTATAGTAGCCCTGTGCGCAGTCGACACAAGTCATGGCGGAATACGATGCGCCCGCGTTGTCGGAGAATTCGATGGATCCCTGCCACCATGAGCCGTGACTACTGGACACCTGCACGGACACAACCTCGGCCCAGCATTTCTCCAAGACAACGTCTCCTCTCAGAAACTTTGCGCTGGCCTCGAGCACATAACCTTCGCCTGAGTCCACCCTGACCTCGAGGAACCCCTCGTGCTGCAAGCCAGTCAAGATTCTCAGGCACTGCCGGGTCGCCTCCAGGTGGACTGCCGTCGGGCTCTCCACCATGGAACCACAAGATTCGACCAGGTGGCACCAGCCTGTGCCTGGGTCCACCGACCCCCGCTAGCCAGGGGTGACAAGGCGTGTGAGGCACTTGGCTGTCCCTCTGCCCCTCCCACTCCCCTCCACCATGGTCCAAAATCTTCCGTCATGGGGGGGGCACGGGCTCCCCCGCGCACCTATGGGGCCCTCGAAGCATCGAAATCCGCAGCCCGTGGCATCCAAGGTGCCCCGGATGCCTTCCAAGATGGCTCAAGAAAGACGCGAACACGCCCGAACGACCCCAAGAACAGCCAACGTGACCTCCACACGGCCCACAATGCCTCCAAGACGCGAAAAGAGGGCCCCAAGAGAATCCCCAAGAAGGCCTCGAGGTGCAAAAACAAAAATACGGCTCATGAGGTTGTTGGATATGTGAGCGGTTTCTTCGGCGTGTCGACACTGGGCGGAAGGGGGGGGGGGGCGGGCTCGGGCTCTGGACCTCTGCTTGGTGCGACTGTCTGCAGCAGTGCGCCCTGTGGGGGGAGGCTCCACCTGTTCGAAGCAGGCGCCCAAAACAGTCAGGACCTATAAGTACTCCATGGGGGGGGGGGGGTGCGAGGGCCCGCGCCGATCGGCTAGAAAATAAATAAGAAAACGACCACTGCGTTCGCGGCCCCCAAGACGCCCCAAGAGGCGCCCAAGAGGCCCAAAAGAGGCCCCAAGAGGCCCCCAAACGGCCCCCAAGAGGCCCCAAAACTCGGCTATAGCCCACAACGGTGCGACAATATGGGCCGGCGGAATGAGCGAAGCGATTAAATACATAAGAAAACGACCACTGCGTTCGCTTTCGCTCATCTCTGGGCCTCTGCAGGCCCGAGGCGGTTCGCGCAAGGGCCCCCCCGCAGACCGGCGCGCCCCCGGCCCGAGAGGCAGAGGCCCAGGGACGGTCCCCGAGAGGACCCAAAGACGGCCCACCTCCTCCTCCTCCTCCTCCTCCTCCTCCTCCTCCTCCTCCTCCCTCCTCTCTCCTCCTCCCTCCTCCTCCTCCTCCTCCTCCTCCTCCTCCTCCTCCTCCCCGGAGGGCCCCAGGAGGAGGTCCAAGAGAGGTCCAAGCGGGAGAGCTCGCGCTCGCTCGCGCATCCCAGCTAACCGACCTTCTTCCGTTGGCGTGTCGCCCCGGTTTGCTCATGCGGTTTTGTGTAGGGTTGACTTGTGTGTGGGAGGAGCCTCGGTTGTATCATGCGTTTCCTTGTGTTCCCTCGCTCTTGGCACTGGGGTTTTCCTCCCAAAGGGCCGGGTCCTGGGTATGCTCGGCAAGCGTAAAGGGGCCCAGGGACACACAAACGAATACACACAAATAACAGGAGCCCCCACATTTTCCTATATATTTCCTGGGTTTTCGTCTTCCCCCCCACTTCCCAATGTTTTCCCACATTTTCCTGGGAATCGACGATTACTTGTGTCTGTGTGTTTTTTCCCCTCCTGAAAGCGGGGGAGCTCGCAGGAGACCCGCCCTCCCCGACAACCTTCCTCCACAAGTTGGCCACGAGAGCCCCAGAGTGCCCCCAGCGTGCCTCCAACAGGACCCCAGAGGACCCCATCAAGCCCCCAGAAGCCCTTGAATGAAGGGGCCCAATGACACACAAAGAAACACACACACACAAACAACTGGATTCCCCATCTGTTCCATATTTGTTTGATTTTCGTCTTCCCCCCCCCCCCACTTCCCATACTTTCCCATATTTCCCAGGGAATCGACAATTAGTTGTGTCTGTGTGTTTTTTCCCCTCTTGATTGAAAGGCTCCCACGAGGCCACCTCCGCGGCCCCAAAGAAGCCCCGCAGCAGGCGCGGGGATTCGGAGAGGAGGACAGGGCAGGCAGCAGCTGTACGCGGGCGGCACGACGGGCACCGGCACCAGAACACCAGAACACACGACATCGGAAGCCAACCTCCTCCTCCTCCTCCTCCTCCTCCTCCTCCTCCTCCTCGCTCTGGGCAGCCCCATACATGCCCACGCGCGCACCAATGCCGCGTGCCCACTTCGGACCTGCGCAACCGAGCAGGTCAGACATCATCTGAGGGGGAGGGACGGGGAGGGGGTGGGGTGGGGGGGCAAGCGGGCCGACGACCCGGGTTATCGCGGGTCCCTCGAACACAGCGTCTTCTCTTCTGGGAGTCGGTGGAATGGCGCAGGCCTCTTGAATAAAACTTGGCAGCCGCGCAGAACTTAGCCGGGCAGTTCGGCGCCTGAAGGCTGTGCGCGCACGCCTGCCAGCACTGCTGCTCCGTGAAGCCGCTCCAGCCGTCGCACCCGACGGACTCGTCCAGAGTGTAGGGCTGCTCCGCGCACGTCTCGCCAGCCGTCGCCGCGTAGTTCGAGGCAGGCGGTGCCGACACCAGGAGCTTCAGGCCAACGGAAGGAAGGCTGCCCTTCTGCTGCCCGTCCGCGATCGGGCCTGCAAAGCCCCCTCCCTGGGCGCTGCAAATGTCGGCCTGCCCCTTGTAACCACCATAGTAGATGCCTTCACCCGCCCAACCCCCGCTGTTGCATCCACAGTAACGGTGCGTGTCGGTCGAAGGTAGCACTGCCCAGCAAGTATCTCCCCACTTGAAGCCGTTCTTGACACATGCATGGCAGAAGTACCCATCTGTGCCATACATTGAAGATACGTCACCACTCGATGTGATAGCTTCAATGGGGATGTCCTGCTGCGGCGAAGACTGGTCGAAGATGTTTGAACCGTTAGGGACGTGAAACTGAATCCACGATTTGCCAAGATTCCACTCCAGCCGCACCCAATACATTCCAGAGCTCACGTGGGGCAGGTCGTAGTTGAGGGTCCTCTCGTCACTGTTGTCGTACGAGGCGTCGTTGTGGCTGCCAACGTCTTCTTCGAAAACTTCCTGCCACATGATCGGTGGTGGAGCCTTGACAGCAGGAACTATTGGGGCGATCGTGATGCGGTTGATGGACGCGCAGTTGCCCGCCGAGCTGCCCTTGAACGTCAGCCTGCCGTCCGTCAGAAGGACGTCAAGGGTCGCAGAAGCCTCGAAACCTGTGGGGACGACGTCGTCCACCCCGAGCCTCATCCCCTCCAGCGTGCACCCTGCAGTCTGGACTGGGCCCTGCGTTCGGTGGCAACTCATGGGGGCCTCCTCTGCGGTTGGCTCTTGCGGATCAACGCAAATGGAAGGAAGCGATCTCGGACCCAGCTGATCTCGGACCCGGCTGAACTCGGACCCGGCTGAACTCGGACCCGGCTGAACTCAGGCCCGGCTGAACTCGGACATGGCTGGTCTCGGACCCGGCCGAACTCGGACCCGGCTGATCTCGGACATGGCTGGTCTCGGACCAGGCGGAACTCGGACCCGGCTGATCTCGGACCCGGCTGCACTCGGACCCACCCGTTCCGGCTGCGGCGCGAGGCTTCCGCCGAGTGCTCCGCCAGGGGGCGGGGCTGACCTCGGACCCGGCTGGCCTCGGACCTGGCTGATAGCTTGGACTCGGCCGATCTCGGACCCTGCTGACGGACCTGGCTGCACTCGGACCAAGGCCCTTGCCCCCTCCCTCCCGCCCGTCTCCCCCGTCCTCGTCGTCGTCAGAGGGCCTTTCCCGGCGCAGGTGGGACGACCTTGTCCTATGCCCCATCGACCCGTTCTTTCCAGTTTCCCGCGCGGGGGGGGATCAAGACGGCCCAAGGGGGGGGAACCATAATGACCTCCACCTCAAGGCACATGCGTCACCAACTCAAACTCAAAGCGTCACGTGTCACCTACCATACTGCATTATCCAAAACACCGCCGGCGGTGACGGGGAGGTCGCGCGGGCGCTTGGCTGCGAGACCTCGAGCGCGGGCGGGTCCGAATTCAGCCGACGGCTGAACTCGGACCCAGCTGAACTCGGATCCGGAATCTAGGACCCGGCTGATCTCGGACACGCTGAACTCGGACATGGCTGGTCTCGGACCAGGCTGAATTCGGACCCGGCTGAACTCGGACCCAAATGAATTCGGACGGGACTGAACTCGCACGCTAATGCACTCTGAAGATGGAACGGCTAGGACACACGAGGCTCCCAAGACTTGCTACCGAGCCTGCGTGTCCCCGAAGGTCACCGTCACCTTTTGGCGGCGCGCAGAGGGGGGTAGGGGCAGGGGGAAGGTTTCTCAGAAGGAGGCTGCTTCTTAGACGGCGCCAATCCTACACCTGCAGATAAGGCCCGCGCCTTCCAAGTAGCAGCGGGTGCCTCTAAGAAGCCTTCCCCCCTCCCCCCGACCCCCCGTCTGCGCGTGGCTGAACCTTGTAGTGCGCGTCCAAGAGCCGGATGTTCCACTCCTCGTCTGGGCAGTCCTTCGCAGCGTCTGGCACGACCTGGTGGGCTTGTTCTCCACCGCCACCCCCATACGTAGGAGGGGGAGGGGGTCTTCCTCCTCCTCCTCCTCCTCCTCCTCCTCCTCCTCCTCCTCCTCCTCCTCCTCCTCCTCCTCTGCGTCCTCCTCCTCATCCTCCTCCTTCCCCCTTCCAACTTCTGGTGGTGGTGGTGGAAAACAGGCCCATGACGACCAGCGTGTTCTGGAGGGCCGTGCGCGTCCCGTCGCTCCGCTCCTGCGCCTGGGCGGCGGGGCCGCCGCAGCGCCAGCCGTACGTCATGCCGCCCGCCCGGACCCCGTAGGCCTCCCCGCTGTCCACGAGCCAGCCCATCGGGGCCTCGGTACAGTACTGGCGGCGCGCACAGGGGGGTGGAGGGAGGGAAAAGGGCTTCTTAGAAGGAGGCTGCCTCTTAGAAGGCGCCGGCCCTACAGCTCTAGATGAGGCCCGCGCCTCCTAAGAAGCAGGGGTGTTTCTGAAGCCCTCCCCCCTCCCCCTTCTGCGCGCGGCTGACAGTAGGAGATCGACCACAAGAAACCACAAGAAACCTTCCACAGGAGACCCACCGCCCCAGGGCGTCAATGGATCTGTGGCGTAGGAGCGCCGCGATTTCCGCAGCAGAAACGTAGAAACCCAAGACGCCCAGGGCACCCAGGAGGCAAGCAGGGCGTTTCTTGGCATGGGCCCCCACTGTGCAGGATCAGCCAGAATCGAGTCGGCAAGTCGGATCGGACCGAAATCTGCACCGAATCGGGCTGCGTCGGCACATAATCGGAATCGAATCGGATGGGCTGCGCCAGGATGCTCAGCAGCGCCATGCAAGCATCGGGCCACATCGGATCGTCAGAGTATCGGAATCGACTCGGATCGGGCTGGCTAGAATCGACATCGAATCGGATCAATCGGATCGAAGTAAGCCCTGCCTTGGTGTCGCTGGGCTGGAAATTCACGTACAAGGGCTCTGGCACCGCCGGCACCGTCTCGTAGGCGGCTGTCGTTGCCTCCGACGAGTCGCCCGCGCCTGCGGTGGCCGCGGGGATCGCCGCTGGAGAGTACCAGAAGAAAAAGCGCTCCTGCCACTCGTTCTCGTTGATGCACTCCGACCCGAAGAAGTAAACGCCAGTGCCCCCAGCCCCCAGCCCCCAGCCAGCCCCCAGCCAGCCCCCAGCCCAGCCCCCAGCCCGCAGCCCCCAGCCCCCTCTGCGGTGGAAGTGCCCCCAGCCCCGATTGCCCTCGGATGCGTCGCCGCAGCTTCGGCGCACGTCGTTGGACGTCGCCAGACCGAAGTGGGTGGATCCATAACAGCCGCCCCTGCCGCCGAACCAGTAGAAGCCGCCCCCCACGCTGTTGCCATTGCAGTTGCAGGCTGTGCACGTGTTGTCGAGCCCCGAGGCTCTGTCGATTCCGGACGTCTCGAACTCGTGGCCAGAGAGGGTTGTCACCCTCAAGATCAGGGGGCCCTCGCTCTCCAGCTGCGCGCCCGTCTTCCCGATTCGGTAGTCTGCGCTCATGTAGGCGCTGGGGGATCCGATCTCTGCCCCGCTGGCAAAGTCGCCAAGGTCGACGCTGGACATATCTGTGCTGAGCAGCAGCGTCCAAGACGCATCCGCGGCGGTGCGCTGTGTAGGACCGGCCTCCTCCTCCGTCTGGACCTTCTCCTCCAAGCCGTACCAAAAGAAATACCTCTCCTGCCACTCGTTCTCGTTGGTGCACGAATTATTGAACAGATACACGCCGCTGTTGACTCCAGAGCGGTGGAAATGTCCCCAAGCCATTCTGGTCTCTGCGGTGCTGTCGCAGGAGACGTGGACGTTGTTGGAGCGGGAGAGGCCAAAGTGGGTGGAGCCGTAGCAGCCGCCACGACCACCGTGCCAGAAGAAGCCTCCACCGATGCTGTTGCCTCTACAGTTGCAGCTGGTGCAAGTGTTATCCAGGCCAGAAGCAGTCGTGATCCCTGTGACCTTTACCTCGAGGCCCGACGCGGTCGTGACCATCATCCGGTAAAGCCCTTCAATTTCCAGCGTAGTGCCAGACTTCCCAATGCGGTAGTCAGCCGTCTCGTACGAAGCAGGGTCGCCGACCTGATGACCGCTGCTGAAGTCGCCCAGCACGCTGCTTGACATGTCGGTGCTCAACAACAGCGTCCATTCCCCGCTCGATGGCGGCTCGCCTGCAGGCTCTGGTTTCACGGCTACAGCGTGGGGCGCGATGACGTAGAGCTCCACTTGAGACACAGCTTTGAACCTATCAGGGCCAGGAATGCCACCTTGCCATGCATTGAGACTGCCTACAGCGTAGAACCACCAACCCTCCAGGCCGCCAGATGTGCTCCCGTCCAGAAGGCAACTCTTATGAGCGTGGTATTGCAAGCCTCCCCACCCCATGCCTGTGTAGTGGACGTCGATGGCCTCGTACCCGGTGACGGTGACGCCTTCTGGCGTGGCTGGATTGCTGGTCTGCTTCCACACTTGATCTGAGAACCCGTCTTTTGGCCAACTTAACTTGAAGATGAACGACTCCGACTCGTCGGTGGCGCGGTACGCCTCCAGCTGGTCTAGAATGGCAAAATTATCGTTGCCTGGGTCATCTGCGTTCAGCGAGAGCTGTCCCTCAGAAAAACCCGCCGGCTCCCAGGGGGCGACATGCTGTGAACCAGCATGCTGGAACTTCCCACTGTTAAGACGAAGCCAGGACGAGGATAAAATGGGGTGCAGACAAGACGGGCGCCTTTGAGGTGCGGCGGCTCCGGAGGATGCCTCGGGCGCCGCGGCCACGTTCTGGAACGGATTCGTCCTCGTCATAGTCCCGTCTGGCCCAAGGCCGTCCCAGTATGGCCGGAAGATGGCTCAGATTGGGGGGCCAATGGCGTTAAGTCAGGGCTGTCCCCCTACAGGCCGATTTTGGACGAAAAATTAAAAATAGTCAAAGAATAACCTAACATATTCAAAAGTGGTTACAAAAAATCGTCCCCAGACTACTTTTAATTGTTTGAATATTCTTCCTGTAGGGGGACAGGCCCGATGGCAGAAGGCGCAGCCGTGCAGATAGTACGGGAGTGTCTGCCGAGCCACGAGCACCCACGGCTCCCTGAGGTCGCACGCGTGCCCTCCCGAGCACGTGGCGCCAACGCCCGTCCACACGTCGGCGTCGCCGTCGACGGCTATCTTGGCGGGGGACACACCTCTGGGTGACCCGAAAGGGGGTCCAGCTGAAAGGGGGTGGTCCAATAGATTTGGGGCAGTTGTGTTGCAAACGTTTTGCGCCGGAGAACTGGATTGCATCGTGTTGCAAGTCATGCGCTGCATGCGCGAAAACGCAGCAACACATTTGCGCCCCGAAGTGTATGTTTCGCCCCAGATGTATTGCAACCCGACAAAGTCTATTGCACCAAATCCATTGCACCACCCCCTTGTCGCTGGACCCCCTCTTGGGTCAACCCGAACACCGGTGGGGCACCCGCGCGTGCAGGTCAGTGGATGGAACGACGCGCCGCCGTCCCTGGAGAACTCGACGGAGCCAGCCCACCCATCGGTGTCTTGGCTCGACACCTTAGGGCGACGAGATCTATGCATATCCACTGCTCCTGGCCAGGCCCATCCTGGGCCCAGGAGCTGCGTATATGCCTCCCTGGCCAGGCCAGGAGGGCGTATACACCGCTCCTGGGCCCAGGATGGGCCTGGCCAGGAGCAGTGGAGCAGTGGATGTGCATAGATCTCGTCGCCCTACACCTGCACCGAGAGAACGGTGACGAAGCACTTGTCCAGCACCACGCCGCCCTTCTCAAACTCGCCGGTGGCCTCCTTCACGTAGCCGTCCCCAGCATCAACGTCCACCTCCAGGCTGCCAGCATCATGCTCGTCGAACCCAGTTGTGATCCGGACGCACTGGGTACTGGTGGCTGCCATCGGAAGAACGACGGGCGCCTCGGTCGTGGAATCAGGCTTGGTGCCATACCAGAAGAAATACCTCTCCTGCCACTCGTTCTCGTTGATACACTGGTGATCGAAGAAATACATACCAGTGTTGACACCAGAGCGATGGAAGTGGCCCCACGCCAAGTCCTCCGCCTTGGTCCCATCGCAGTGGTGATGCACATCGGCCTTGCGGGCTAGCCCGAAGTGCGTGGAGCCGTAGCAGCCGCCACGGCCGCCGTGCCAGAAGAAGCCTCCACCGAGGCTGTTGCCGTTGCAGTTGCAGCTGGTGCAGGTTGTGTCGAAACCTGATGCGTCGTCGATCCCTTCGACCTCCACTGCGTAACCAGAAAGGGTTGTCACTCTGATTCTCCACAGGCCATCAGCCTTCAGCTGCTCGCCTGTCTTGCCGATGCGATAGTCGGCCGACCTGTAGCTGCTCTCGACGCCGACCTGCTCGCCGCTGCTGAAATCTCCGAGCTGGTTGCTTGACAGGTCGCTGCTCAGCAGAAGTGCCCAGTTCTCGTCCGCAGCCGCATCTTCGTCGGCGGGCGGGGCCGGCGTGGGGGGGCTGTACCAGAAGTAGTAGCGCTCCTGCCACTCGTTCTCGTTGATGCAGTCGTTCTCGAAGAAGTACATCCCCGTGTTCACCCCGCTGCGGTGGAAGTGGCCCCAGGAGGCATCCGCGGGGTCAGGCTCGCTGCAGCTGCTGTGCACGTTGGCCGACCTCTTGAGCCCGAAGTGGTTCGAGCCATAACAGCCTCCACGTCCGCCGTGCCAATAGTAGCCGCCTCCGATCGAGTTGCCGTCGCAGTTGCAGCTGGTGCACGTGTTGTCGAACCCCGAGGCGGCGTCGACGCCTTCGAGCTCGAACTCGCGTCCAGACGCCGTCTGCACTCTCATCCTCAACGGCCCCTCCTCCTGCAACTGGGCGCCAGTTTTCCCGACCCGGTAGTCTGCGATCGTGTACGACGCCTCATCGCCCACCTGGGTGCCACTGCTGAAATCGCCCAGGTCGCTGCGGGACAGATCCGAGCTCAGCAGGAGGATCCAATGCAGACCCAGCACATCTGCGGCTGCAGGTGTTGGCACGGGCGCGCTGTACCAGAAGTGGAAGCGCTCCTGCCACTCGTTCTCGTTGATGCAGCTGTTTTCCCAAAAATAGACGCCAGTGTTCACCCCACTACGGTGAAAGTGGCCCCAAGCCGCATCGTGAAAGTCGGTGCTGTCGCAGTTGCTGTGCACGTCCGCCTCCCTCTTGAGGCCGAAGTGGGTGGAACCATAACAACCACCGCGGCCTCCGTGCCAATAGAAACCGCCACCGATGCTGTTGCCGTTGCAGTTGCAGCTCGTGCACGTGTTGTCAAAGCCGGAGGCGGAGTCGATGCCTGGCACCTCCATCTCGTGGCCCGACGCCGTAGTCACTCGAAGCCGCAGGACACCCTCCTGCTCGAGCGTGTGCCCCGTCTTCCCGATGCGGTAGTCGGCCGACTCGTACGTGCCCTCCTCGCCCACCTGCTCGCCACTGCTGAAATCGCCCAGGGCGGTGTTGCTCATGTCGGTGCTGAGCAGCAGAGTCCACTCGCCCGCGTCCGCGAGGGGAGCGTCCTCCGCGAGCGCGACGCTGGCCACCGGGGTGTTGTACCAGAAGTGGAACCGCTCCTGCCACTCGTTCTCGTTGACGCAGTCGTTCCCGAAGAAGTACACCCCGGTGTTCACCCCAACGCGGTGGAAGTGGCCCCAGCCCGCATCGTCTGGGTTCGCACTCCCGCAGTCGCTGTGCACGTCGGCCTCGCGCTTGAGACCGAAGTGGGTGGAGCCGTAGCAGCCGCCGCGGCCGCCGTGCCAGAAGAAGCCCCCCCCGAGGCTGTTGCCGCCGCAGTTGCAGCTGGTGCAGGTGTTGTCCAGCCCGGACGCGTCGGAGATGCCGGTGGCCTCGAAGACGTAGCCCGAGGCCGTGGTCACGCGGATGGTGCTCAGCCCCTCGTCCTTCAGCTGCTGGCCCGACTTCCCGATGCGGTAGTCCTGGCTCTCGTAGGCGTCGGGCTCTCCGACCTGGGTGCCGCTGGCGAGGTCCCCGAGCGAGCTGCTGCTCATGTCCGTGCTGAGGAAGAGCGTCCAGGCAGAGGCGCCCTCGGCAGCTGGCGCGGCGGACGGTGCCGCAGGCGGCACGCCGAGGCCCCAGAAGAAGAACCGCTCCTGCCACTCGTGCTCGTTGATGCAGTCGTCGCCGAAGAAGTACACCCCGGTGTTCACCCCGCTGCGGTGGAAGTGGCCCCAGGCGGAGTCGGCCTCGACACCGCTGCTGCAGCTGCTGTGCACGTCGGCCTCCTTCTTGAGCCCGAAGTGGTTCGAGCCGTAGCAGCCGCCACGCCCGCCGTGCCAGTAGAAGCCGCTCCCCATGCTGTTGCCGTGGCAGTTGCAGCTGGTGCACGTGTTGTCGAAGCCCGAAGCCTCGAGGGTACCTTGGAACTCAAACAAATGTCCAGAAGTGGTGGTCACGCGAATACCGTGCAGGCCCTCATCCTGGAGCTGCGCGCCAGTCTTTCCGATCCGGTAGTCCGAGGTGGCGTAGTCGGCCAGCGTTCCCACCTGAGCCCCGGTGCTGAAATCACCCAGGTCGGGGCTTGCCATGTTGGTGCTGAGGAGGAGCGTCCACTCTGACTCCTCCGCCGATATCTTGCAGTACGGGGTGCGATCCTCGTGCGCCGCCCCGAGGGGGTGCGAGTTGAAGTACATCAGCTGCCCATGCTGGAAACAGCCTGCTGGATCGTGGCTGGTCGAGATTACGAACGGGGAGTGCAGGGACAGGCGGAAGAAGTGCGCCGCCTGGTGGCACTCCTCCTCGCTCAGCAGGGCGGTGCCAGGCAAGCAGCCGTTGGCACCCGTGGCGCCCAGCCGGTAAGGCTCCTTGCACAGCACCACTCTGTCAGCATGGTCGTCGCCGCCGACGGCGTGCGTGTTGTACGACAGGGAGCCTTGGGCGTTGCTTCATGGGTTCATGGGGGGGGGGGGGGGGGGGGGGCGACATGGAGGGCGAAGAAACGTGCCCATTTCGTACCCCTTTTGGGTACCAGCGAGCCCCTTTAGGGCCCCTAAGGTGTTAGGAGGCAACTACTGGGAGGTCTTCGTCGGAAGGATAAGGGAGGACTAAGCCCCATTGGGGGGCTGTTACACCGGAGTGGGCCTCGGATTAAGCGGGATTAAACGGAATTAAGTCGGATTTCGGACCAGGGCAAAATCAGAATTGGACCTCCCAGGAGTTGCATCCGAACCCCCAGTATCGCCACCCCATTGCGCAACGGCCCAGAGCCCCCGTGCTGGAAGCAGCCAGCTGGCTCGGTCACGTCCGACACGGCGAAGGGGTTGCTCTGAGGCAATCCGTAGAAGCTGGACGCTGTCTCGCAGCCAGCCTGGGTCAGGTGCACCTTCCCTGCAGGGCAAGCGTTCACGCCAGTCGTGCCATTGACAAAGGCCTCGACGCAATAGGGTATCCGATCCGCATGAGCTGCTCCTGTGGGATGCGTATTGAAGTACATGTGCTCCCCGTAGGAGAAGCAGCCCTTCGGGTCGTGAGACGTGGAGATCGTGAAGGGGCTGTGAAGGGTCAGCCCCTTGGTGGCCGCCGCAGTCTGGCACAGCGTGCTGCCCATCCAGAGGCTGCCCGGGGGGCACTCGTTCGAGCCGGCCTCCCCAGCGACGAAGGAGGGGGTTATCTCCTCGGGGTCGTCCTTGCAAATGGGCCCGCGGCCCGCGTGCAGTGCTCCGGTCGGGTGTGAGTTGAAGTACGCGGTGCCGTCGACCTGGAAGCAGCCTCAGAGGAAGAGACAAACTCATGTACGTACAGTTTCGGAGCTCTGCGCGGACTTCTTGGATCGGCGCTGGACCCCCCTTTCCCTGGTGCGCTCCGCGCACTGGAGGCACCGCCAGGGGGGGTCCAGCGTCGACCCTACAAACCTCGTCAAACATAAGTTGACGCGCCGTTCAAATTCGCGGCACTCGATAGTTCGGGCACTTGTCAGAAAGCGTGTTCTTCAATCAGTGCTGTGAGGGGGTTGCCGGATTTCGGCCACCCCTGCGTCTGGGCCAAATCTCATGCCAGCATGGGGTAGCGCCGACCACACAAGCACCGAAAACACCGTAAACGCTAACTCATATTCGACGAGTCCTGCAGACATCCGCGGGGAACTCTGAAAGAGCCTGGTTATGCCGCTTTCTCTTCGGTGGCAGCTCATGGGAGCCTCCCATACCATCTTGGTGAACAGTGCGAACCGACGCTAACTGACGCTACATAGTCGACGCTAAATCGACGCCAGGCTGGCGCTATCTCATCGATTACCAACCGCTGATCGACGCTAACGCGCGCTAAAGACGGAGCTGCGAGGGTATACGCGGCTCCCACGATTCGCTACTGAGAATTTGGCGGCGCGCAAACGGGGGCGCGGGAGGGGGGGGGCTTCTTAGGAAGCTGCTCCTGAGAAGGCGCCGGCCCTACATCTGTGGAGAAGGCCCGCGCTTTCAAAGAAGCAGCCTCCTTCTGAGAAGCCCTCCCCACTCCCCTGCTCCCTTCTGGTGAGCGCTTTCTGATTCGGCGTTTCGACATTGGGCGGAATGGGGGGGAGGAGGGGGGTCGGTCTGGCTCCGGACCTGTACTTAGCGCGACTGTTTTCAACAGGGCGTCGATTATGGGGGAGCCAAACACAAAAAGCCAAGATCTGCTCCATGGGGGGGGGGGAGGGGGGGGGAGGGGGCGTGCGAGGGCCCGCGCCGATCGGCAAAATAAGCAATACGAAAACAATCACCATCCCAGAGATCCGACGTCGTGATTTTTTCCATGCGGGGTCCCCGGAGGTCTCGACCCATTCCCCAGGACCGGTTTCTCGTCCCGAATCGTTTTCTGACGGTCCTGGGGTCCGGCGAGGGACCCTCGAGGCCGAAAGCTGCGAAAAACCTCCGCCTTGATTTTGTCACTGCGTTAGATCTCTTTGGGGCTGCGCGTGGCCGACATCTTTCCCCGCTCCCGGGGCCCACGGGGTCGTGGCCCTCCGAGATCTGGAACGGGTCGGCCAGGGTCAGCGCGTACGCGCCGGCGGCCGCGCGGCACTCTGCCTCGGGTTGAGGTCGGGCACGTCCCCCCCCTGCAGGGGGGATTCTGGACGAGAAACAGAACGTGGTCAAAAAATGCCCCCAGCATGCTCACGCGTGGTCCAAGAATAGTCCCTCGACTAGTTGTTGACTACTTTTTCGGCTATTTTTGAGTGCTCCCCCCTGCAGGGAGACAGGCCTCAGAGCCCCGAATCATCAGGGGTAACTCGGGCCAGGGATAACTCGGGTTCGTTTTTCGGGAATCCAAACCCGAGTTACCCCGGGCCCGAGTTACCCCGGATAACTCGGGCGTCCAGAGCCCCGAATCATCAGGGGTAACTCGGGGGGTCAGGGCTAACTCGGGTTCCTCTTTCGGGAATCCAAACCCGAGTTACCCCGGGCCCGAGTTACCCCGGATAACTCGGGCGCCCAAAGGCCCGACTGAAGCCTCGGTCAGCGGCACGCTGCCCACCGGGCAGCCCGCCGCGCCCGCGGCGCCCAGCACGTAGGCCTGCCCGCAGGAGAGCCGCCACCGTGCCGGCTGGGCCCGGAGGAGGCGTGTTCTCGGGCCCCTCGGCCCCGGTCCTCTGCCCACCAGTGGGAGGAAGCAGGAAGTTGGAGGAGGGGAGGAGGAGGAGGAGGAGGAGGAGGAGGAGGAGGAGGAGGAGGAGGGAGGAGGAGGAGGAGGAGGAGGAGGAGAGGAGGAGGAGGAGGAGGGAGGAGGAGGAGGAGGAGGGAGGAGGAGGAGGAGGAGGAGGAGGAGGAGGAGGAGGAGGAGGAGGAGGAGGAGGAGGAGGAGGAGGGAGGAGGAGGAGGAGGGAGGAGGAGGAGGAGGGGAGGAGGAGGAGGAGGTGAGGAGGAGGGAGGAGGAGGAGGAGAGGAGGAGGAGGAGGAGGAGGGGGAGGAGGGGAGAGAGGGGGAGGAGGAGGAGGAGGAGGGAGGAGGAGGAGGAGGGGGAGGAGGAGGAGGGGAGGAGGGGGAGGAGGAGGGGGGAGGGGAGGAGGAGGAGAGGAGGAGGAGGAGGGAGGAGGAGGGGAGGGAGGAGGGGGAGGAGAGGGGAGGAGGGGGGGGAGGAGGACATGGTTGAAATTGGATTTTCGCGCGCCCCCTGAAGAGGACGGAAAAGGTGAAGCCACTCGGCCATTGAAGTAGGAAAGCGCTTGAAGCAGATTAGAACCTGGGGGTCCAAAAATACCTACTTTCAACGACCGATGGGTACAGTCGACCCGTATCAGAAGGACCCACGAGAAGGATGCACGGGCCTCGGAAGGCCGCCTCGAGGCTCTTCGAGCGGGGCGCGGCCGACGAGAGTGGCCAGGAACGGACCGAGGGGGCAAGGATGTAAGGGCACCCTTGGGAAGATTGCCCGTCCTTGCTATGCGGGTTGACTGTAAGTCTCAATCCTCGCTCCTGAGGGGTCGGCATAAAGCGGCTGGAGCCCAAATGGCCAGCGTTGGTGGTGCTTCTCGCGTCTCTTGTCCCGGCTTTTCGAGTGGCTCTTTCGGAGCCAAGAGAGCCTCAGCTCAAGACGGGCCAGGAGGGCCCCAAGAGGCTCCCCAAACTCTCCCGGAGGCTGTCGAGTCGCCGAACAATCGGTCCAAGACGCGCGAAACGGCTTCAAGACGGCCCAAGAGGTACCCAAGACACCCGAAGAGACCCCAAGACCCTTCCCAACAGTGCCCCAAGAAGCATAAACCAGTGATTGCCCTGAGGTTTTTGAGCGATTTTGGCGTTCTTGCATTTTCGGCTTCTCGACGCTCCAAGACAGCCAAAGAGAGGCCCCCAACAGCGCCCCAAAACGGTCCAAGAGGGCCCCAAGACGGCCCAAGAGGCCCACAAGAGCGCCCAAAGAGGCTCAAATGACGGCCCCAAGAGGGGGCCCAGATTGGGGGCCCGAACGGACACTTCGAGTCCTCGGCCCCAAGCGGCCCCCAAGAGGCCCCCAAGAGGCCCCAAAGAGGCTTCCGAGAGACTCCCAAGAGGCCCCAAAACTGCCCCCAAGAGGCCCCAAGAGCGCTCCGAAGAGACCCCAAGAAGCATCCCTGAGAACTCTGTCCCACACCCCAGGCACGGTGGCGGGATGAGCCGAGGGCCACTAGCTCCGCCGCCACCTGCTGGCTTGCCACAGGGGTGCCCCGCGCGCTTGCTGAAAAGTTCGTGCTTCTTTTAAGGCTCTCCCTGGGCCTTCAGCACAGCGCGCCGACTGCCTGTCTAATCGTTTTTGTTCGCTTCAGATGGCTTCAAAATGGCCTCCAAGGTGGTGAAGATGCCAAGACGGCCGACATGGCACCAGGAGAGCCCAAGATAGCCCCAATATTGCCTCCAAGACGGCCCCAAGATGCCTCCAAGACCGCGAAGATGGTCCAACAGAGCCCAAGACGGCCGAAGCAGCGCCCAAGAGGCGCCTGAGATGGCCCAAGAGGCCTCCACAAGGGCCTCCAGGAAGGGCTGAAGAGGTCAAAATCATTGATTTGGGTTTTGAAGGTTTCTTGCTTTTGCATGTGTTTGGTTCTCCGAGGGCCCCAGACGGCCCAAGAGGCCCCCAAGATCGCCCCAGATCGCCCGAGAGGCCTCGAAGATGCCCCCACGACGGCCCAAGAAGTCTCCAAGACGGCCCCAAGAGGGCCCCAGGACGGCCCAAGAGGCCTCCAAGATGCTGAAGATGGCCTACAAGACGGCTGTGAGGCGCCCTCAGAGGGGCCCAAATCGATTCAGAAAGGCCCCCAAGACGGCTTCCGACGGCGTCAGACGGGCCAGGAACGCCTTGAGACGGCCAAAGAGGCCCCCAGGAGGCCCCCAAACGCCCCAAAGAGACCCAAGGATGCCCCCAAGATGCCTCCAAGAGGCCCCCAGGAAGCTCCCAGGAGGCGCTCAGAGTGCCCCCAGAGGCTCCCAAGATGCCCCCTCCTCCTCCTCCTCTTCCTCCTCCACCTCCTCCTCCTCCTCCACCTGCTCTTGATCTTCCCCGCCATCCTCCCCCAAGTGATCCCCGAAGGGTTTCCACAATGGCTGTGGGAACACACGGTCCGATAGCTTGGCAGAGCTCTGGCCACAACGTTCGGCCACATGGGCGATTCCAAAAGGCAGGGGGCGGCGGTGATTCGCCGTAGGCGTCTTCGATACGATTGCCGGGGAACAAAGAATTAATTACATACACATATACTGTCGGAGGTCCGCGAGGATCTCTCGGATCGCGCTGGGGCCCCCTGACGGCGCCTCCGGCGCCACCCCTGGCGCGCCTGGCGCGCTCCGCGCGCCAAGCAGGGGGGCGCAGCGCGAGAAATCCGCGCAGATCTCAGATCATGTGTGTTTATGTCATTGTTTATTCCCCGAGATTGATCAACCGGTATTCGATGGTTCCCCAGTACTGGCCCACACCCGTGTAGTGGCTGCCTCTGAGAGTATCGCCATCCCTGTGCAAGCACTCGTACTTGCCAGCCCCAAACGTGTTCAGTATCGACACCGTGGCGCCGGCATCGCGCGCGTCGGTGCACAGCTCTGCGACGTTGTCGAAGTGGAGCGAGTCAGTGAATATCCCAGGCTGGGTCGCCGTGTCGTCGCAGCCGATCAGCATGTCGGTGCCCCTCCGTGCGCTCCTGTACCATACCTCGTACTCCCCAGCGTACGCCGTGGCTTCGTGGGCGGCGTGCGCTGCGGTGCAGACGAGGACCGCCGCTCTCATGGACATGTGCCCATGCCACGCAAGAGGCCTCACGCGGACGTAGCGCGCCAGCTTGATGGCTGGTAGCATGCCATGCACTACCGTGTTGCGGTCGCTATTGCCCGCAAAGGTTCCGTCGACGTCACGCCAGAGCTCGCCATCGACTGAATACTCCACCTGGTAGCTCGTCACCCACTGATCGAGGTCTGAGCGACCTTGAGTCACAACTCCGCTGATTGGCATCGCGGCCCCCAGGTCAATCTGCACGTAGTGGCCTACGCTGTTATACAAGGAGCTCCAAGCCTGCTCCGAATTTATCGCGGACCTCGCATGGCCAGTTCCCAGCGCGTCGTTGTCCCAAATGCTGCTGTACTTCCGGTCTCCCTCTGCCGAGTTGAGGGTGCTGCTTGCGTCGCACCTGCCCCCGCGCCAGTAGCAGTCCCGGGTGTCATCTGCATAATCCTCTGGGTCGCCCATGCTTCCCTTTCGCAGGTAGCACCTCTCGTGGCTCGCTCCGGCGTCGTCGCCCGCCACGTGCACGAACCCGGCACACGCCTCGTCCCCATCGCACGCAGTGCTGCAGGCTTCCGCGTGCTGCCCCTCGTGCAACTCCACCTCGGCAGATCCATCTGGACCCTCGCTGCACTCCTTGCCAGTGAACTTCTCGTAGCCCGCAGGAGCATACTCCCCGCACAGCAGCACCCCGGCGCGCATGGAGCTGTGGCCGTACCACGCCAGAGGCCTGATGCGGACGAAGCGGGCGTAAGTTGGGAGCTCGAGGAACGCCTTCACCCTGCTGTTGCGATCGGAGTTTCCCGGAAAGGTGGCCTCCATCTCGGTCCACGACGCCCCGTCCGCCGAGACGCTCAGCTTGTAGCTCACAACCCACTGGTCGTAATTGGCGCGCCCCTGCGTGACGGCACCGGTGACCAGCATAACCCTGCCGAGGTCGATCTGCATCCACTGGGAGGTGTCGTGCGAGGAGCCCGCACTCCACGCCTGCGCCGAGTCCAGCGCAGACCTCGAGTGGCCCGTGCCGATGGCGTCGTTGCCCCAGGAGCTGCTGGAGATGATGTTTTGATGTTTCCGCGATGGCCCGAGTTCTCTGGTGGAG